ATCTGATCACTCACCAGGATTGTTGTCTGCTTAGTGGTAAAGAAATGCCACTATGCATAGATAGGTGTCCTTGCATGTCTTTCCAGTGGTCAACCCTGAAGCAACATTATACTTGAGTCTTAACCACCTTCTGGCCAGTTTGTATTGCCATAGATGATAGTGATAATTACTTTATCCTTTTTCTTAAAATCTTATGACAGAAACAACAAAAAAGAAATGCATGTAAACCAAAAAATCACCTACTCACTCCAACCTTTCTTTCTTTAATATTCATGGCATTTGTTCCAATTTCTATAGCGTAGAATCTTTTCTCTTGAAATGTTCTTCAGATATCTTCACACTTTGTGAAACTAATTTAAAATTTTTATCACTTCCAATGAATTCTCTGTTCCAGGCTACCTTCCACTGTCAAAAAAATTCTCTGATATATATGCATGACCTTGTTGTCCATTCAGGAAAATCTCCTAATAGCAAAGGAATTTTCTCCCGAGTCCCTGAATGATTCTTTCATGTCCTTTTGACTTTTGTTATTGCACACTTAGCTTTGTTTTTCCTTTATTGCTGCCCTTCTTCTCAGGACTGTAATATATTAAACAAAATTTCTGATATACAAATGTCTCTCTCTCTCTCATTCTGTTCATCTGCAAACATTTTTGTATTTGGTGATTTTAATGCTCATCATCATATCAAGTGGCTTAACTATTTTAATATTACTGATTTTGCCAGTATTCAGACTTTCATTTTTTATCTTAGTCAAATAGTGGATTTCCCTACTCATTTTCCTAATAAATCTTTTAAACATGGTTCTTTACATGATTTGTTCCTTACCTCCTCTCCTCACCCTTGTTGAGCATCACAATTCTGTCCTCTTGGCAAATTGGATCATGTTGAATTATCTGTTGATATTTCTTTTAAGTCATCTATTAGAAAGGACCATCCATTGTTACCAGCATACTGATTGGGACTCATTTTGGGACTTTATTCAAAATGCCCTTTGGGTTGGGATTCTTAACCTTACTATTGAAAATTGTACTACAGAGGTTTCTTCTTGGGTTAAAGCCAGTATTGATACTTTTGTACCTGGTGAAACCACAATTTTCTCCTTGGTTCAAATGTCTGTTCAGCTGTTATAACCTATGGGAAGCACATTTTCCAGGTTTCCAGGATGATAGACAACAACTTGTGCCTTCTCACAATAATGTCTTTGCTGGTAGAATGAGGCACTGTATAGCCTCTATCATGTTTGGTACTCGTATCTACCGATGACTCTGTAATAAAGTATTAAATAAGATAATATTAAATAATATTAAAGTTTCTCCCTTTTTCACTGAGATGTTCATATCTTCTGCCAATAAAGCAGAATTTTTGCTCATAAATTCTTTTCAAATTCTACTCTTGAATCATCTAGAACTCAGGTGAACTGTTGATCCTTCTATTAGCCTTCTACTTCATTTTAGTATAGTTAGAGGCACTAATTAACTCTGAATTTGTTAAGTATCTCACCTTGCAAGCTCTTTTTCAGATAATCAATAAGGCCTTTCCTTCTCTAGGTCAATTACTGATGTATTAACGATTATTGCTGAAAAAGTCTGTCAAGATTTAGATAAGACTGGTAAAGCTCAAGCTGTTGATTTGGATATCTCAAGAGCAATTGACAGGGTTTGGCATGCTGGTCTTCTTTCAAAGTTGAAGGGTTATTGTATTTCTGAATTCATTTTTGAACTAATTCAGCTTTTTTTATCCAACTGCAAAATGAAAGCTATCTTGAATGGCTTCTCTTCTAGATCTTTTTGCATTAATGCAGGTGTCCCCAATGTTGTTTGTAATTTTTCATCAACAATTCTCAACTCGGTATCTATGCTGATAAAACAACCATTTACTCCTGTCTTTATAGTAAGTCTGATCAGTTTGAGAAGGTCAAATTGGCAGCTGATGTCAAAAATGACCTACAATCTGTTGTTAACTTGGACAAGGAATGGCTTGTTAATATTAATACCTGCAAAATGAAACTGCTCTCTTTTAATCATCTGAAAGAACACTTTTTGCCTTCCATCAGCATGGCTGATGCTAACCTCCACCATCTCAGACTAAAGTTTTCCACTGATATGAAGTCGAAAGATTATATTAAGTCAATTGCTAGGTCTGCTGCTATGAAAGTTGGTTCACTGTGTCATACTAGAAAATTTCTTCCCAGAATCTATTTTATATATTTATAAGTCTGACATTCATTCCTGCTTTGAATATTGCTGTCATAGCTGGTCAGATGCTCTTGCTATATATTTAGAAATTCTTGACAAAATCCAAAGAATATGCAATCTTATTGGTCCTGACCTGGCATCTCAGCTTCATTCACTTTCCCACTGCCATAATGCATTGTCCCTGTGCTTTTTCTGTAAATACTTTCATGGTAATCGTTGTGATGAACATTCCTCTAGAATGTCTAGACTTTGTGAATGTAAGCACAGTACTAGATTGGCAGCTAGGTCACATCATTTTACAATTGAAATGGCTACATGTTACTCTAAGTTCTATGCTAACTGATTTCTCACTTGTGAAACTCTTTTCTGGTTTCTGGCTTTCAAGTCAACTTTAACACTGGTCTTCAAAAATTTTAATTCAGTCATTATCTTTCATCTTAATTCCAGTTCTTTTATTGTTCTCTTTAATAGTGTTTATTTTTTTCTCATATTTTCTAATACTCAGTAATCTCTTTGCATCTTAGTGGCATTGTTGGCTTACTTGGGGTGAAATGCTAAAAACAAATCTGCTTCTTTTTTGGAAGTATTGAATACCAGCTTGTCTGTGAGAGTTAGGTCAGAGAAGAGACCAGTTGCCAGGCACAGGCCATCCAGAAATTTGGAGGTGCTCCCATACACTATGGTATCATCTGCATTTATATTAATTTGATAATGTTCTTAGGCAGATCATTATTATATAAAACAGAAAGAGAGTATGACTGAGAAGAGATCTTTGGAGGATGCCAGCATTGATTACATGTGTCTCAGAGGATTGGCCATTAAGGACAACCTTCACAGATCTACCTGACAGGAAGGAACTGATAACTGAAAGGACTCTCCAAAAGATTCCATAGTTGGCAAGTTTGTATAGCAATCCCTTGTGCCACATATTATCAAATCCCTTCAAATTATCTGAGGCAATCACACTCAAGACTTTTTAAGTGTTTCACTGTTTCTGTGCATGACAATAGTTAAGGCATCAGCAGTGGGGCTAGAAGAGCAAAAGCAATACTGTTTGTCACTCAGGAGTTTTTTTGTTAAGGTATTCAACTACTTTTTTGATAGCTTCAAAAGGTTTGTTAATGACAGTAAGGAGGCTGATAGGGATACAGGACAGACACTAGACACCTTTTATGGGCTTTGAAGACATTTCTTCTAAAGGCAAAAGTTAAACAGCTTTGATAAGATTGGAAATAGTTCTGGGCCAAGAATAACTACAGGGATTTTATCTTGACCAGTAGCCTTCATAGAGAAAGCGTTCGATAAATCTGTAAACCTTCCCAGCTGATATAGAGATATCACAAAATTTGTGCTCTGTGGGAAGAGGAAAGTAAGGTAAGGAAGAGTCTTTGCCTTTAACTCTAGGTTAGACAATTGAGTTCATAGCAAAGAGCTTAGCCATATCCAATGGGGATGAAATAAACTCAAGGACATTTTGTTTATTCTTTGAATGAGTGACTTTTACTAGATTTCTCAATTAATTTCAATCATTCCCAAATTTATTTCCAAGTTATAAAATTATCATACAAAAAAATTTGTCACAAAAAATCACCAAAAACAATCGCAGTAATTAAAACTTGGGAATCCCAAATTTCAGGATTGTGGGTCTGGATCTGTCATAGAATGTTTTTAATTTGCTCAGAGTCAGCCTGATTCCAAAATGGTATGATATGTTGGGCTACGACCTTTAGTTGTAAAGTGGAAAAAGTGTAACACACTGACATTCACATTTATTTAGAAATAGGTATATCCTGAAAATATTATTAATAATAAATGCTTGATACCAATTTTATTGGGAAAAGAATAAGTTGCAAAATAAAATCTTTCTTTACATGGTACCAATTCTCTTTACAGGGTTCATTTGTGTCTAAGGTTATTTAGAGCTACATAAAGCCAAATTACTCAAGTTGAAATTGGAAGGCCTTCAAAGATTTAGCTTACAGAAGTTTACAGAACCAATTTTTCTTGGGTAAAGTGTGTTTTTATATGCTATCAATATAACAGTAATGCATCAATTAAGTTGAGATTATAATCATTATGAACACCATGATCTTGTATAATATACCATTGGCAATATACTATTCTGTTGGGAAAGTTTCAGATTAATATTAGCTCAAGCCTCAGGGCACCCTCCCCACTAGGCAGTACCTCTCCTTTGGGAGGGAGTTCGGGTCATTACCTAGTGAATGAGGCATTCCAAAAAGGGGGAAATGCTGAGGAGGCTTGAGCAACTTTTCTACAGTCTTGTCATATTCAGTAGTGACATGGGTACACTGAAAAATACATATACTATACTGGGCTCCATATGGTTTTGAATTCAATGTTGTCCCTTTTCCTAGACTGGTTGCCAGCCATGCTAAGAGGGTCATCAACATACTCTATGATTTTTGCTTTTTATGTTTTGGTTGTTTTACCATGTTGTACTTTTTCAGGTGTCTGCCATATTGTAGAACCTTCTGATAATTTAAAACCAAAATTTTATTCACTCCATCGAGAGGAGAATACATAAAGATTGTTTCTTATTTCATTTTCACTGTCCATGCTGGGGATATTTGATATCAGTTAATTTTTCTTACAAACAACCAGCATGTGTAAGGTTCACAGCCTGATCCAGGGATTGAACTCTAGATCATCAGATAATTAGATGCATTTATTCACAAGACCATTGTCTTGGAGGATAAAATATTGGTTAAGTGCATCTGCAGATTGATTTCAATCATTAAATTTTTCTTCTTTGAAAAGCATTAACATTACTTTATGAGGATGGGTGTAGGTACTGAAAAGTTCTTGGACTGACTCACTTCTCAAAAACCTGACCAACTCTCTTCTTTTTTTCTCTCTTCCCTTCTCTCACTTTTTTTTTTTATTTATTCTTTCTCTCATCTATTTTTCTCTTTCAGTCTCTCTTCTATTCTCCCTCTCTTTCTTTCTCCACCATCTTCTATTCTCTGTACCTTTCTTTTCTCTTTCTTCACATCTCTCACTCATTCTCTCTTTTCTTCTCTCCCTCTTCACCACCTCCCTTTCAATTGCCCCAATTCTATTTTTCTTCTTTCTCACTGTTTTTTTTCTGTCTTGCTTCTTTCTATCCGTTTCTTCACTCTCTTGTCTCTGTTCTTTATTTTTGCCATCTTTCTTTTATTCTATCACCCTTTCTTCCCTTCTCTTACTATTTCTCCCTCTGTCTCTCTTACTTTTTCCATTCCCCTTTCTTCCTTCACACTTTTTCTTTCATTTCCTTTTGTATTTTTTCCCTTTCTCCTCTTGTATTTTCTCATGTTTATATTCTTCCATCTTTCTTTTTTTCTCTTCTCTCACTTCTCTTCCTTTTCTCTTCTCCTAAACTTCTGACAATTAAATTTACCCAGTTTTTGCTTTGGAATAATCTTTCAAATTTTGTAAAAGAATTCTTTCTTCTCTGTCTCATTTTCTTTTCTCCTGTCCCTTTCTCTCTCTTTGCCATCTTACTTCTCCTTTTCTTTTCTCCTTTCTCTTTTCTATTCTCCCTTCCTTTCTGTACTCTTTTCTTCCTCATTTTCTTATCTTTCTCTCTTTTTTTCTCTTCCCATAAGCTACTAAACTTCTGACAATTATCCAGTTTTTGATTCTGAATAACTTCTCACATTTGGTAAAAAAATATTTCTTCTCTTTGTCTCTTTCTCTTATATTTTACTTTTTTTTCTTCTGTACCTTTCCTTTTTTCCTCTTATCCTAAGCTACTAAACTTCGGACAACTAAATTTAACCAGTTTTTGCTTCTGAATAACCTCTTAAATTTGGTAAAAAGAATTTCAGCACACAAAGCATTTCCCAAGAGCCTCTAATATCTTTTTGCTTTCTTGAATTATTTATAGAGATTAATCCACCTGGGTTTATTAAGTCTTTACTAAATATTAAATGGCTACCATATTTCATGACAACAAAATTGGATCAGTTCTTTTCTCAGACTTGTGAGTACTAAAATGAATCTTTTGTCCCGAGAGTTATTATATCAGTGCAGTCTACTTCCATTGTTCTGAGATGAACAAAACACAAAAACATGCAAATTGGGGAAACAAAAAATTAAATCAAGACAAAATCATATACCAAGTCAACCCTTTTTTAATGACAGGTATTTAGGACTGTTTCAATAACAACAGCAGCAGCAACAGTTCTTGTGTTCATCTTCTTCGTCGTCTTTCCATACGTACATACCTAGTCTGGGTTTCAAAATTGAGGAATTACAGAACCACTCCAGATCCATCTTGTACAGTCCCTGGTTTTAGACCTTTTTTTTTTCTCTTTGGTCTTGGGAAAGGGAGATGAAACAGGAATTGATGGGAAAAGGTTGAGGCTGGCCCAAAACCCCACACAATATAATTATTCTACAACTGAATTATTTGTATTATTCATATTTTTTTCCAGTTTTCTTTTAATATTATAATACAGAAATGAAATAAATAAGTCCATTTTCCCCTATTTTAAATATATATATATTATAAATATATATATATATATATATATATATATATATATATATATATTAATAATTTGGATTGAGAAATTGAATAAATAAAAGAGAAATATACATAGCCATTTTCACTTTCAAATCTAAAAAATAATTAGAAAAAAATGAATAAATTAAAAAAAAAAAAAAAAACAGGTATTGAACCCTTGGGTCTGGAAGTGGTAATCTGCCAGTCAGAGGGTTCTTCCACTAACCACGCCCAGTAGCTGTAGTTAATCATTACAGCCAAGAGGGTCAGTGTAGATACCAATTGAAATACTATCTTCCATTCAGGTAGATACCTGCAAAAAATAAAAAAGATATTAAGAATTTAGAAGTTATTTATAATTCATACTTAGTTATAAAATAATAATTTTAAAAAAATGGACTAACCCAATATTATTCCTTATTGGAAAATGTTATTTTTAGTCAGTATACATGTTTTATTTTAATATACCTTATTGTTATACATTATTTATATATACACAAATACTTAATACTGTTTATTGTAAACTATTTACTTAACAACATTTACAATAGTTTACAATAAACAGTATTAACAACATTTATCGGCCTGAACTTTCAAGAAATTTCATAGAAAATATGCATCCTCTGACAGGAATCAAACCTGTAGCCTAAACAGAACCATTATATAGCTTGACGTGTTATACCCATTTAGCTACAAAGGTGCATCTGATAAGCAAGCTTGATTTTACTGCTTTTAAACTACAAACTTCCCATAATTTCCCTCAAACATCCATATCTGCTCAAAGTGTATCTTATCATAAACAATGATGTCACACACTACTGAATGGACTGACAATTATTTTAATATATTCTATTGTTATATTTTATTTATATATACACAAATATTTAAGTAAATGCTCTGTTTATAATGAACAGTAGTAACAACATTTACCAGCCTGAACATACATGAAATTTCATAGAAAATATGCATCCTTTGACAGAAATTGAACCTGTATACTATACGAAACTGTAGCTAAACTGGTATAGCACGCCAGGCTATATGACAGTTCTGTGTAGGATATAGATGTGATTCCTCTCACAGAATGTATATTTTCTATGAGATTTCTCAGATGTTCAGGCCAGCAAATGTTGATAAACAAAGCATTTACTTAAATATTTGTGTCAATATAAATAACTTGTAGAAGCACACTTTGGCTCAAAAAGCTTTTACCCTGATGAAAAAAGGGAGACAATTTTTCTTTAGTAAGACTTATCAATCTAGGCTGGTTTCTGTTTACATTTCAGCTGCAAAAATGAAGTTAACAGATATAGATTCATAGAAGCCCCAACGAGAGAAAAATAAATTGTGATAGAAGTTCTCTTGATCTGATGAAATTTCTCTATAAACATTTTCAGCCAGACATTTTCTCAAGTTTTTTTTTTTTTTTGCAACTATACTGAGTCCACTTGAATTTTCTATTCAGGACAGAGATACATAGAGCTGACAAACATTTGAATATGTTCCTAATGTTTGTATTAATAATAATAATGAAGTAAAATAATTTCTTTTAACTTGTTTAACTAATTAAGTACAGTTTTAGGAAATCTAATTGAACAAATTATTTAGACTTATTTCTGTTCGACTGACAGTCAAAGAGTATAAATGGTTGGCAGTTGAGTGGCATCAGCTGTACTTGATTTGATAATCCAGCTTTTTGTTTCATTTAACAATGAATCAGTTCCTCTGAATATATGTGTGACGTATGATGCATCTGGCAGAAGAGAGGTGTATTCATCAAAAATTGCTTTTTTTTTTCAGTTCAAATTATTCATTATATCATATCCAAGTATTTTACAAAAAATTAGAGTTGATTACACAATATTTCAAGCTTAATTTATGTTTATAGTTCATAACCATGCAATGAGATGAGGTAACATAAACTATACATTTGTCCGCAGGATATCATTACGTTATTGTTACATAATTATAGTGAAATCATTAAGGTTTTTTGTCAAAAGCATTTTATTTTTGGTCATATTAATTTAAAATATTCATTTTTACTGGCTTTTTTTTTAAATGGAATAAGATCATTGTAAATTTCAGAATTTCACTATTGCCCATCAAAATGACTGAAAGAAAAGCAATCTAAAAACAAAAATGGAAAAGAGAGGTAACAAAGCTTAAACAAAATAGCTCCAGTTTGTTTAACTTATGAAACTTAGAATTGCAGCCAAAGTATTCTAAAATGCTGCCAATAACAAAGGAGAAAATGAAAAATACCTGACAACAAAGTGAATATAGTATCAAAATTTATATAATTTCTTTTTTATTTGTTATGTAATTAAATACACAATTGTCAATGTTTCCATAAAACTTTATATTTCCATTAAATGTTATTATTTTACTAAAGTGTAAGGTAGTCCTACATTTACAATTCCTTAAGGCTAACCATGAAAAGAAATGTTTATCAAAACTGCCTAGAACCCTTAAGCGCATATTGCTGCAAGATAATCAAATGTTGAATACACCCCTCCTTCACCAAACACATGTTTCAAAACAAAACTGCTCCCTTTTAATAATCTTAGAGAACATTTCATCTACATGGCTGATGCTGACATCCAGGTGAGGGACTCATTGCCCTTTCTCTGGCTAATGTTTTCTACTGACATGAAGTGGAAAGATTACCTTCTTTTTAAATATTTACCTGAACTTATATTTCAGATGAATACAATCATCTTTGCTTTTATAGTGTTTCTTTAAGGCTATTGCTTTCAGAATTGCAAGCAGTTAGCACCTTGTTATATACCATACCTATGAACACTAATCAGTATGTCCCGCTAGCAGTGGTTTACCTACTTCATGCCGCTGGCGAGTATTGTATTTTGTTGATGTTATAAAGATTACCATTTCATTTCCAACCTCCATTTTGATCATTCCACATTCAGTAACCCTTTCTGGGATACATCACACCTACTGTTTGATTCTACTAGTATGCAGAAAATGGTAGTTTACAAAGGGACTGCTGAAAAGTTCTCAGCTTGAAACACTATGAGTCGAACTGAAAATTTGAATTTTGAGTTGAATACCCATCTTACAGACAGAAAAGTTGTAATAGATGTTTTCTTACCTTTCTAAAATTTCGAAGCCAAGATTAGGTTTATTTTATGTTTTATTTAATTGTAAATACACTATCTTTTTCTGCTAACTTATAACTGAATTTTTACAAGATGCACACAAAATTAAAAATAAAATAAAAATTTAGTCAGAAACATTGTTTGTAGATGGCAACATTTAAAATAAAAATAGCACCAATGAAATATTTATTAAAATATGCTTTTAAATGTTTTGTTTCTTGAATGTACCTAAAGTTTTTATATATATATATATATATATATTATATATATATATATATATATATATATATATATATATATATATATATATATATATATGTGTGTGTGTCTAGACATTGAAGTCAATATCCAGAGGCAACAGTCTGTTTCATGCTAAACACAATCATCAGGCCCCTGGATGTTGACTTCAATGTCCACTTTTATATTTACATGCCCTCTATGCCTGATATTGACCACTTTAACACATAAACAGAGCATACCTTAAAACTATATTTTATCAATATATTTAAAACTTAATTTCTTTTTTTTTTCAATATATTTAAAACTTAACTTCTTTTTTTTTTTCATATGAATATTGTATCCATTATGGTGATATATCTATAAATATACTATTGTATGTTTTTTGTAAATCTGGTAATATATATATATATATATAATATATAATTACTTAGATGTGCAAATTTGTATTTGAAATATATACCTCCTACTGAAAAAATGGAATTATAAGTTGTCTCAATGTGTGTTTTGTACATTTGTTTATATATGTATATATTATTGAATTTCATTTTTTTTTTATTCATATTTAACTTTTATTTTTCTTACATATTTTTTCTTTAAACAAACCCCATAAATAATATGGACTGCACAGTGTGTGTGTGTATATATATATATATATATATATATGTGTGTATGTAGTAATCTGTTGGTATAATCCAGGTGAGTCCTATTAACAGAACATAGAATAGAATTTGAAATGTTAAAACTGACTCACAAAAGAGTGATCAATGTTTATTTTCATTAAACAGAGCAAATTTTCTTTACAATTGGAATTAAGATACCTTTAGTAAGACTTCCTAATATTTAACATAGAGTACATAAGTTAATACAAGAATTTAATAGGTAGTGTTTAAAGGGTCACTTACCAATACACATTAGATTATGCGTTGAAGTGACCTAAGAATATATATCTAGGGAAATAATTAGTGATTATACATTTGTACTGACCTATAATATTAATTTGTTCTCTCCTTTGTCTGGTAATTCCGTCTAATTACAACTAAGTTAATGCCTGGGCTTTTCTAACTCATTGAAACTCCTCTTATTAACCTTTCAAAAATGTTTCATCCTAACATAAGGTTTTTGTAGATATATGCCAGCTAGCATATGTATGTATGTGCTTAAATGTAGATATCGAAGTGTATGTTAGTGTAGACAGCTATACCAGTAGGTATTATTAATGTGGACAAACACATGAGAACCCATACATATATATCCAAATTCACCCCAAATCCTTAAAAACACTCCCCCACAAACTTTGAGCTCTGATATATGTTTGAGTTTAATACCAATAATTCTGAATTAACTCTTTCATTTTACCAAAGGTACCTCTTGATTATTTTTTTTTCCTGTTTTCGTTAATTTCCATTAATCCCCTTCAAATTAAACTTTGACCTTGTGACCATTAGGATGTAGGTCAGCTCATTGGTTTCTCCCTCCCTCCCCCTACCCAAGGCTCTCCTACCTACATAATATGATTCCAGTAATGGTGCCTTTTTCTTCTTTAATTTTATGTACATTTATTACATTCTACTGTTATTTGTATTTGCATTCATTTTATTATTAATTTTGATATTTCATTTATGGAAAAATGTCGTAACTGAGATTAATATAAAAATAAGATCATATAAATTTCATAAGATGATACTGATACTTGTAGGTAACCTTCTCAGTTGAAATTGAAAAATCAAATTAACTTCTCCACACGTGTTTCATAAAAAGTAAAAGGCCTTAACAGCGGAGAACAATGCTTAACTCAAATAACGCAACTTAATTATATTCTGGTTGGTCTTCCATATTTTATAATTACAGCTCGATTATAAGCACAAAATTACATTTCTTAATTACTGGGTATCTTCTGATTTGTCAAAATGATACAATTTACAACGCGCTAAAAAAAGATCTATCACATAAGAACACTTATAAAAAAGCCGATGCGGCTTTTTAAGTAATTTTATAATATTTTAACAACTTAAATGTAAAATCTATTATAATTAATGAAATAACAAATAATTGTATTAAAAATTCATTTTCATCGAAAAAATTTTTTTGCTTTCAGAAAATATTGTCCATATTCATAAAAACAACTAAAAGCAAATAAAAAGCATTTGAAATTAAATAATATATTTGTTTTATTGAGTTTTGTGTGTTACAATTCAGAGCTGATTTTCAGGTACTGCGTATCTAATTAAAAAAAAAAAAAAAACATGATTTGCATTCCTCAAAGCCCTGTGCTTTTAATTATTATAATCACTAAAACCGATGCGATCAATTTCTAGCGTTTTCATAAAATTAGTTATGGGGGTAATAAATATTTTTTAAAAATATTTCTACCATGACTTTCATAAAAAAAACATTTATAATAATTTCGATCATCTGTGAATAGTTTCTGAAAGTTTCCTATTTTTGCACGATTTTTCAAATTAATGTGTGTCATACCAAAAAAACGTGCTAAAAATTGTCTATGTTATTTACTAGTTCTGCTGATACAAATAGAAAAAAGTTTTTTTTAATCAAAATTTAGAATGTTCTAAAAAGAAGGAAAAATTTTTAAAAATAATTAATAAAACTTTGGTCTTTCCTCTTAATAATAACATAAGCATTTAGACAATAAAATTTAGTTTTCGGCAAGTTTGGCGTCTTTTTCATCAAGCTATGCTCTTTTTTTAGCGATTTTGTGGTGGTACCTAATATAATATATTCATAAAGAAAAAGCAGATTTCAAAAATTTAATAAAATAAATGCTAAGAGACAGAAATAAATTCAATATATTATCAAACAGGAAAAGGTTCAAAATTCATTTTTTTTTCTTCTTTTTTTTTTCAATCTTGTTTAAATCCTTCTTTTCGTTGGTAATGTGTTTCTGGCTCTTAGCATCTATTTTTATTAAATTTTCAGAATCAACTTTTTTAATAACCCTGTTTCTTTATATATATTCCACTCTGAAGATCCACTTACATGAAACTTAGGTAGGTAGTTTCTGACTCTCTAGGATTTTTTTTATTCTCTGCTCTACTTAGTGTATTGAGCACTTTACATTTTTTTTCTTATTTTACTCGATTGGGTATTTTTCTTTTGACTAGGCATTATGGTGTTGAGCGTTTTTTGGGGTTTTTTTTTTTACCCCTTCCTACTTGGATGATTTTAGTCTTTTCTTTTCTGTTTTTTTCCAAATTTTTTCCCCAGAGACCAGTTTGTATAAATATATTTTTATTTGCAAATTGTATTATCCATTTTTTTTTTTTTATATACTAATCAAGAATAGCTATTAAAATAAAAATATTATTTGGTACTTCCTGCTATAGGCTTATATATAAATACAGGGTTATTTAAAAAGAATGAGCATATTTTGAAAATTCAATAAAAACAAATGCTAAAAGACATTCAACACATTACTGAATCAGAAAAGGTTCAAATTTATTAAAATAAATGATTATTTTTCAATCTTGTTTAAATGCTTCTTTTTGTTTATTTTTTTTTTTTTCAGATTTTGTATAAATTTAAATTGATATAATTTGTGTCATTGTGTACCCACAAGAAAAGTCATTTTGTGTACTGCAATTTGCAAAGTGTAGCCTTAAAATAATTTGAACATTTTCCTATCCAGTAACGTGTTGAATGTGTTTCTGTCTCTTAGCATTTTGCTTTCATTAAATTTTCGAAATCTGCTTTTTTTTTCTTTTTTTTTTTAACCTTGTATAATAGTAAATGGTCACTTTGATGTGGTGCAATGGTTAGTAAGATTCTCTTAATAGATCAATTGTGACTATGTAATGATTCTGATCCTTCCTTTTGGTCTTGTACCATATGTAAACTATGCTTACTAAATTGCTATAAAAAAGAGGGGACTTTACTGGTTAGCAAGCATTTTTTAAATATCAACATCTCTATGGATTATTTAATGCTGAAATCTAAATATTTTGAACACAATTGTATGCCTTTAACTACAGATAAAATGTATTGTTGGTAATTTTTTTATATAAAAATGTATTGCTGGTATTTCTATACTTTCATAATGTTTTGTCTGAGGGTTTACTATTTATCCACAGCTGAGACCCTAACAGTTGTTACAACCCTAGGTCAGAGTGAACCTGGGAACAAAAGCAATTAAACGCTTGGTTCAATGCTTGTCAAAACCTCTAATCTCCTGATCAGAGGCTTTGCTGCTGGATGTAGTTTATTGTCATACCCAGGACTGAGTTGCAATAAGGTATATTTAGTAAATCACTATACAAAAAAAGTGGATAGCAAATTCAAATTGTTAGCAATATGGTTTCATTGTCAACTTTTGTAAAGAGTATCCTTATATTTGGCAAGTTTTTTCTTTAACTTATTGATCTTTATTTTTCATCCATTAACCAAGAATATTAAAATAAGCTTCATAAAATAAAAATAAAGTAGTAGATACCATTGGAATTTAAACTTACATCCTATACCCTCACAGTTTCTTTTTCTGAGAGCCTGTCACTCAACAGGACACACATTTTCAGTTTTCTCCTAGTAGCTAAGTTCTGGATTTTTCTATATTCTTCTCAAATAAATAAATCTTACCTAGCAGTTCAAATAGTTCTTTGTGTCATAACTTTTTCAAATGCTTTTGCATAATAGCAAAAGGTTTAAATTAAATGACCCATTAGGAAAAGTGTATTGGGGGGGGGTTTAAATATTTTTTTCAGTTGTTGCTTTTAATTTGAAATTAAGTAATTAAATTTGAAATTCTGATTCATATGCAACAACTGTTAATTGCTTGACTAAGTCATAAATAAATGTTGTTATAAACATGTAAAACTAGCAATTTTTATTATAAAACATGTATTGCCAATAAATATTCATACAGTCACCTAATAGTCTTAAGTTATTTGAAATCATGCATTTTTTTCTTTTTACCCTGTTTTTTTCTTTATCTTAGTGTATCATCATAAGATATTTTTAGTAGTACAGTTCATATTTGGTTATTCTGAGCAATTATGAAATTTTACTATCATTTTTTACTTTTATAAATTTTATATGTATCCTTCAATTTCCAAAAGGTTAACTCGACATTATTTTGATGCAGAGTTGGGCCCTATGGAAACTTAAGGTTTTATTTTGCTGGTAGTTTTTCTATGTTTGCAATAGAAATTGCTCAAGGACTTAGGTGAAGTAAAAACAGAACATGACTTACATTTCTTGTTTAATATTGGATGGAGGAGAAATGGCTAAACACTCAGTCCTGGACAATAGATGGGGAGGATTCTATGGTAGTTTCAGTCACCTCTGAAGTTTCAACAGAAGTAACCACATCTGAAGTTTTAGTTGTAGTGACCACTTCTTCTATCACTTCTTCATGCTGAACCGTTTCCGAAGAATGGCTTGTAAATTCAGCACATGTGGCACCAGCTGTGAGATCCTTTGACACAACAGCATCTACAGAACCAGATTCTATGGCAGTCTGCTGGCTTCCTTGAGAGGTGGTGCTAGTGGTGGATTCTGTACTCTTCAAAGACTGTTTTCTCTCTTGCACACTTGAGGTAGCACTTTGAACTGATTGCTGTCTCTTCTCTGTGGCTGAAGCTGTTTCGGTGATGGCCTCGGCAGAAATTTTCTCAGAGCTGATGCTTCCTTTGGTTTTAATAATCTCCGAAGATTTTTCAATTGTTGTCGAATCGGACTGCTGAACAACACAGATGGTCTTCTGTTCCTGAACCATCACCTCTTTGTTTCCACTTGTGGCTTTGGCTTTTTCTTGACTAACGGCTTTTGTTTCCTGAGACATGCTTGCAGATTTCTCTTCAGTGCTTGACATTGCCTTTGAGACTGAAGCTTCTTGAATCTCTTGTAAAGATTGAACCTGTGTTTTACTGGCTGATGTGCTTTTCTGAGTGATTTCTACAGCCTGATTAGTAACTGCTACTGCATTGGCAGAGGACATAGATGATTGACTCTGTGATTTGGTCTCACTTGAGGCCTTTGTCTCTTGTTTCTGCTCCTGGGCGACAGCAGTTTTACTTTCCACTGTAGTCATTCCTTGAGTCTGAGATTTACTAATGCTGGCACTCTCTACTGATTGCTTACTTTCTTGGGTGACAGTTTCAGTTTTCTGGGACAAGTTTACCGATTCCACTTGTTCTGTAGATGAAGCTACAGATTGTGATTTATTCAAACTGGAAGAATCTTTCAAAAGCTCTTTCACTTCCTGAGAACCAGTTTTACTTTCAGTTCCCATGGCGGAAAATGAATCCTTTTGACCAGCAGATGATAATGATTTCTGGGCAAGCTCTTCAGCCACACGTTTATAGCTGGACGCCAGCTTGAATTCTAGGTAAGAGCTGTCAAAAGATACTGATTTCTGGGAACTAGATTTTTCCTTGTTGGAATAGTTGTTGTGTATAATTACTTCACTTATGTCAGGCATCTTGAATTTCCTCTCTGGCTGCTCCACCATGACTGAAGCAACGGGGTTGAATTGTGTAACCACACCTTTCTCATTCTCATACTGTGTTGCATAGTTTCGCAGTTTGAAACTCATAAAGATATTTTCCTTTCTGATTTTCACAATTTCATCTGATTGTTGCAACCAGTTATGTTCCAGGCAATCATCTACAGTCATTCGATTCCTGAAACAAAGGGAGAAACAAAAAAAAGAATGTTTAAATCAAATGAAAATATTTATAAAAAATTCTTTTTTTGGTTTTAAATCAAAAAATGATAAAAAGAAAAAAAGAAAAATTTTATAACAAATATTTTATCATTTAACACATTAACTCCCACACAACCCACTGGAGCATTGTGGTTATCTGCAAGACCTACACAACCCTCTGGTGGTTCATTTTTCAATAAGAATTATTGGAAGTGGGATGCTATGATTGGTAACTTATAAGATCATGATAAATCAGAACCACATTTTTTTCCAAAATGAGTCAAATATTAAAATGAGAATTAGTGTCAATGTAATAGTGATTTTCCAAGTGTAGCTTAGATGTGGCACAAGGCCGAAAGTATGGGGCACCCAGTGAGGATTGAACTCTCGACTCAGTTGTAATTGTTCTAGCGGGACAAGCTTGCTAACCATTATACCACCCCGAGATGCCCATGATTTTCTAAGCATAGCTTAGATGTGGCACACAGCCGAATGTGAGGATTGAACTCGCTATTCAGTCATAACTGTTTTAGTGAGACAAGCTTGCTAAGCATTACATCATACTGAGGTGCCCTATAGTGTCAATGTAATACTTGTCTAGTGATTTTTTTTTTTTTTAAAGCATAGATTAGATTTGATACAAGGCCAAAAGTATGGAGCACTCAGTGAGGATTGAACTCACTACTCAGTCATAATTGTTCTAGCAAGACAAGCTTGCTAACCATTATACCACCTCAAGGTGCCAAATGTAATATTTGTATATTGGGTATTTTTTAATACATATGGGTTATGTGGGACTCTAAAGTTAATGTTAAAACAAAGTTACTTATACCAAAATTAATTATGATATAGTGTCGGGACACTGGGACAAGGGAAATGAGGCTTTTTTTATGGGTCATTTTTTATTTTTACATATGAGTTGCGTGGGACTCAGGGTTGTAAAATGGACTCAGGTAATGAACCACACACCAATAATAAATACTACTTATGATATCCTTGCCTCAGATATGAAACAATATTAAAATAAAGTCACTTGTATCAAAATTAATTATGAAATAGTGTTGAGAGCCTTTTCTCACCACTAATGAAGCAGAAATCATTATAGAGTAACATTAATGCTTGGTGTCCTCCAAGGCTCCATCCATGAACCTGCTTATTTCTAATTTTCATCAATAATCTTCTCAATGTGATCCATTTTTGACTCGGTATCTATGCTATTTATTCCTGTCTTAATGGTAAATCTAATAGGTTTGATATGGCCAAATTGGCAGAAAATGAGCTTCAATCTGCTGTTAACTGGGGCAAGAAATGGTTTGTTAATTCTACTGCCTCCAAAATGAAACTGCTTCCTTTTAACTGTCTTAGAGAACCTTTTTTGACTTTCATTAAAATGGCTGACATCTTCTCAGTCTAATGTTTTCTGCTAAAATGAATTAAAATAATTATATTAAATCAATTGTTAGGTCCACTGCTAGGAATGTTGATTCACTGTTTCAATATCTTACAACTTTTATAAGCCTACCATTCATTCATGCATTGAACATTGCTGCTTCCAAAGAATCTGCAATGTTATCAGTCCTGATCTGGCATTCTGGCTTCCAAACAACCATAACAGTGTTTCCCTATACATTCTCTATAAATAGAAGGTCTGATCAAAATGTACATGCTATGATAACAAAGATTGAAGCTACTTGGCACAGATTGATCTTGAATTCCATCACGTATACATACTAAGTTATAATGTTCTCACTGACTTGTGTTGTAGCAATGGCTTGTGCAGCAGTTTTTTGGTCAAGAGACCAACCACTAGTCTTCAAATCTTAACCCTTGCCACTTTTTTCCTTTTCAAAAAACCAAATCCCACTTGAAAGGAACACAATTTCAAGACATTGAGAAAATCTAAGAGAAAAAGATGAGAAAGCTGTTGGATAAAGTGTGTGGCTTCAGAAGAGGACTGCTTCAAAGGAGATTAAATGCCAAATTTTTCTTTTTATAGCACAAGTCCCAAAACCTTTGGATCAGACCTCGTATTTTTATGGTGCTTGTTTTGAAGAGCTTTCTTTTTTTTTTTTTTTGGTATGTGAATTTAGACATAGTACTAGATTGGCAACTCATCGTTTTACTGTTGAAATTGTTAGTTGCAGCCATTAGTTCTATTCTAATAGGCACTTCTTACGGCTTCTTAATTTCCTATGTTTTTCAAAAGTTCAAGTGCATTATCAATCATTATATTCTGTCTCCTTGAATACTGTTCTTTTATTGTAATTTTTCCTCCTTAAGTTTCTCAGTTTTTTACACTGTCAGTGAACCCTTGAATCATAGTAGCTTTATCACCTCGCTTGGAGTGAAATAATTAAAAATGCTTAAAGTTAATTATGAGACATACTTAAAGAAGAATTTTTTAAGCATTTGCTGCCTCCTTACTTTCCCCACCAAATATTTGGGTGACCACTGCCAATTTATATTGTCAGAATACAGACCTACTAAACAAGATTTAGTCATACTGGATCTTCTTGTATAATCACCAATGTTAAGCAACTTTGAGCATGGTCAGTACATAGATGGGTAACCACTTGGGAATACTGAGTGCTGTAATAGATAATGGCTTGAATTGTTAATCAGTGAGCTGAGTTCCAATTCTAACTAGACTTGTTATATTCACTTACACTCAAATAATCTTGAAAAAAGTATGAATCTTCCTCTTCTTCCCCCACTATGGGTTAATTCATAGAACTTGTATCAGTAAAGCCGTATTATCTCTGAAAATCAAATCAATCAAACTGGATCTTCCCAAAGACCAAACTTAGATTTAAGTCAGTTCTATTTGTATAAATTTGTCTCCGAAAAAATGTTTAAATTATTCTCTAAACTTTATGCAAAAAAAGTTTTTGTAAAGATTCACTTTTTTCCCTTTTAAAAGAAAATATTACCTGTGTTGAAGGATTTATTTTAAAAAATTACTATCAATAGCTTGCAAGGTGAACAGGTTAAAAATTGCTCTACACAATAACTGCTCAATGAAGTTAAATATTTAGTTTATAATTTTTTTTAAATGAATTTACCCCAGGCAGGGCAGTAAAAACACACAAGGGGTTACTACTACTACTGTACTGTACTGATGCGGCATTCACCCTGGGCGGATTGAGCCGGCTTTTTCCTGTTATGAGAAGAAGATTCTTGGGATAAATTACAGAAGTAGGGTACCCAGGCCTACTCGGATAACGTTCTTGCTTGCCTTGGGATTCCCACAGGCGAGAGACAGAAACGACCAGAAGAAGCCCGGTTACTGATGCAGACGCTCCTTGGATTTTCACCAGAGCCCTTGTTAACCGGCGTGTGTGTCAGACCTGTCCCGCCTTGGGTGGCCCTACCAGGAACGAAGTTCCGGGCGGCATAGCTCTGACACTACCGTTTACACCCCACCCCCACCGACTGTGAGGTAAGGGTTGGACTTTGGGGGCTTACAGTACCAGGTGTTCCCAAGCGGTCCCCCATCTAAGTACTGACCTGGCTCTACAATGCTTAACTTCGGTGATCAAACGAGAACCGGTGTTTCAGCGTGATTTGACCGTAAGCAAGGGGTTACTGGGTGTGAAAGAAGTCAAAAACAGAAGTATTATTAAGGAGAAAGAACAATAGTGTAATCAGGAAGACAGCAGAAAGTGATTGACATTGCATTTAAATTTTTGAGAATCAAACATGACTGGAAAGCAAGAAGCTGGAAGAGTTCCATCAGCAAGAAGAGCAAGAAAAAAATAAATTGCTAGCATAGAACTTACAATTACATCTAACCAATTCAGCTGTAAATTGATGAGACCTTGTTGCCAATCTAGTACTGCACTTAAATTCCAAAAATGTAATTACCATAGCAAAGAGCTCTTCCAAACAATTACTATGAAAGTATTTGTAGAAAAGATACTGGGAAACAATGGCAGAGGGAAAGTGACTGAAGTCAAGATGCCAGGTTAGGACCAATATTATTGCTGATTCTTCTCTGGATTTTATCAAGATTCTCTAAATATATAGCAGGAGCACCAGACCACCTGTGGCATCAATATTCTAAGAATGGGCAAATGGTAGACTTATAAATATGTAAGATAGATTCTGGAGAGAAAAATTGTCTCATACAACACGGTGAATTGACTTTCTTAGCAGAAGACCAAGAAACGAAATTATAAACTAAATATTTAACTTCATTGAGTAGCCATTTCATGGAGCAATTGTTAACCTTTTCAACTTGTAAGCTATTGATAGTTTAATTTGAATCACTTGTACATTTTGGGGGAAATTGCCTGAAATTCTTTTAGAGTTCTAAAAGAATTTCAGGCAATTTCCCCAATTGTATTAGTCTTGATATATCCATATAATTAGCAAATTGGAAAAAGTAATTGGCAGAGTTTAACTTTGACTTGTTCATTATGTTAAAATATACTTGGGAAAAGAATGAATATGGATTAAATAGCAGGGCTAACAGGACTCTTTTGTCTTAAGGTGGTTGTAAAGGAAAAGAAAAACTCTTAATTATCAAACATTCTTTCCCAAGTGATAGATCCTCTTGATTTTGTCTAAAGGCAGAATACAGTGGCCTCTCTGAATACTTTTGGGAGTTTGACAGGTCCAACTAATTTCAGTTATCCTTTTATTTTGTGTATTTGTTTTAATATTTTAGTTTGTTTTTTACATATCATCCACAGATTTTTGTATATAGAATTTTATAATCATTAATTTTTATATCATGCAGTGTTTTTGTAAGTCTTATGGAGGATTGAATGATGATGGATAAGTTTTTTTGCTGCATGTGCAAATTGTAATGAGTGAATGGGTCGTGAATCTGATTAGATAGGTATAAGATAGTAAGTGATGACCATCAGTCCATCCGCCCATTTTCGGCCTTGTGCCACAATTATATTTTATACACAATAAATCTAGACACTACTACTACTACTATAGCTGCAGGACATGTAGTTCTCCTATGATTCTAGTCATTTATAAGATATATGACATGACCTTAATATATAAAGACGTTTTCCATGACAGATATAATTATTTACACTGTTTACAAGCAGACTATTTTCCTTATTTTTGTTGTTATTATCATAATGTTTCTTCTGACATGCACCTGATGAAAGGCGATGTGTGGTAAGCTACAGGAATTCCAAGCTGAACTTTGTTTAATCTACATGAGTAGATTGTTCAGGATTCAGTTTGGGACTCACTGTAGTTTACCTGGATTGACATATATCCCAGAGGGTACAATGGCCAAAACATTATAACAACAGCAACAAAAATGAGGACAATAGTTTGCTTGTAAAACTTTTCATTCCAGAAATTCAGACAAAGAAGTTATTTGAATTTTTTTTTTCTCAAATCACTGATGAAATTTACTTACGTTGGAATTCTTTTGACAATTTTGGAGATAAACTTGAGAGCCTCTTTAGAGACATTCTCATACATAGAGGTACCATCGAAACGATTGTATGCAATGTTACCCAAAGTCTCTTCTCTGGTGCTGCCAACATAGGGAGTTTCTCCACTGAGTCTGAAATGATAAAAAAAAATACAAATAAGAATAAATGATGTAACAATTACGAATTAAAATTTTATTTCTCAAAATTTCACTTTGTGTGATTTTTCTATCAATAAGAATGCATGAAAATAAACTAAAATGAACTTGTCATTTAAAAGCCATTAAGTTGTCACTCATGAAATGACGCATTTCTTGGTTTGTTGATCCAGTCATCTAACAAAAATCTTGACTTATTCTTGACTCTTTTTCTTTCAAAATATTGTCACTCATAAGCCCAATGAAAATGATTACAATGAAACAATGTTGAATAATCTTACTGTATGAATACAAACTAGGTCATTTTGCCTCTGAAGCATTTTTTGAATATCAAGATGGCCTTCATTAATGTTATTGTTGAAATCAGAACAGTACAGAGATGGTTTCAGAAGTTTTGCTTGGGAGATTATAGTCTTGAAGATAAACTGAGGGAAAGACCACGATTGGTTATCAGACATGATCAACTGAATGCTTCGATTGATTAAAATCAGAGAACTACAGTCTGAAAACTTCCATCTGAACTCAAATCATCTCTCACAATTGTTTCTTAGCACTTGAAAGCAATTGGAAAAGTAAAGAAACTGGATAGGTTGTTCTGCATGAACTGAATGAAACACAAAAAAAAAAAAACATCACTTTGAGGTGTGCTCTCTGTTGCTTTCCTGACTGGAAAAAAAAAAAAAAAAAAGAACCATTTTTGCATCGAATCATTGCATGCAATGAGAAATAGATACTCTTTGACAGCAGTAAGAGAGTAGACCAGTGGCTAGATGCAAGTGAATCACCAAAACAATGCCCCAAACTTCTACTGTACACCAAAAAGCTAATGGTTAATGTATGGTTGTTTTTCATTGTTCATGCTTACCTCAACCCAACCACAACAGCAACCTTTTATTGAATAATTGAAAAAAGAAACATTCTAGACTTGTGAATAGGGATGGCCTGTTTTTCTGTATGACAATGCATGGCCACACAGTTCTCAATCAACAGTCCAAAAGCTGTCTTGCCTGAATTATGAAATTTTGCCTCATCCTCCATATTCATCTGATATCTCTCTTACTGATTATCACTTATTTAATCATTTTGTGCTTTTTATATCCAATAACTCATTCTTGAATAAGGAAGAGGTAATCAAAGCATTTCAACTGTTTATCACATCAAAACATGGTAGCTATTTCAACTAAATAAGTTAGTTATTATTTTGGAAGCATTTTATTCATTTCCTATAAAGTGTGTCATTTGATGTGTGACAACCTAATATTTTACCGCCCCACCAAATATTAGAATTGCATAAATTTAATGGATATCTGGATATTTTCTTTATTTGGTGTGAAATGATTAAAAAAAAGAGATATAATGCCAATAAGATGCAAGGGGTTACTGAGAGAGGACAATAAAAGAACAGGTTTCGGGAAGATAGTAACTGATGTTGCATTTAACTTTTTTAAGATTGACAGAAACAAGAAATTGGAAGAGAGTTCTAAAGGTGAGAAAAGAAATTATTAGAAAAAAAACAAAGTTACATCTAGCTATTTTAAGAGTAAAATAATGAGACCTACTTGCCAATCTAGTAGCACACTTAACTTCATGCAGCCAAGGTATCAAGGAGAAAAACCTCATTAGAATAATTGCCATGAAAATATTTATAGAAAAAAAAAAGGAAACCACAAACATAGCAGTGAGAAAGTAACTGATGTGAAGATGACTAGTCAGGACTGATAACATTACAGACTCTCCTTGGAGTTTAACAAGAATCTCAAAAAATATGGCAGTAATACTCAATGTACTGATGAATGGTAGATTTAATCATTTGCAGATTGGAAAGAGAAATCATCAAGCTAAGTTCAAATTCTGGTATATTTTGTTACATTCATTTTTCACACAAATAGCCTTGGGAAAAGGTATAAATCCATCTCTCCTCTTATTAATCAAATATCAAGGCATACACGGCTCTTTAGTGATGATTGACAACCAGTCTAGGAGTAAGGCAACTCCATATACAACCTTGGCTTGGCACATACAATACAGCAATAGAAAAGAATAAGGAGTTTACAATTAACTGCAGTGTCAAGTTGTAGACTCTATGATGTTGATTGTGGTTGATGAGGATTTGATTGCAACTTTCTTCACACTGTCATTCTACAATCTAAATACATTCCAGGTTATTTTTTACATTTTATAAAAATATTTATTTCTCCCAGTATCAGCTCATTTAGAAAGAAAAATGTTAGACATAAATTGACCATTATTTTTCAAACATCATCTCTAGTTAGGAAGCAAATCAATATAAAAATCAAACAGTAAGACCTTTATCAGTTGGATCTTGTTACAGTCTGATTTAAATGATCTCTTTATGATTCACTCTACATCAAAACCTGTCAACTGGATTCAACTGCTTAGAAAGCAAAAATAAAAATAAGTCACTCTCTACATAGGGGCTCTGACCATCACATCTGGCTCACAATCCCCCCCCCAAATGATCATGAATGATGCCACTAAATCAAAAGCCATGACAAAAACATTGAATCATGATCCACCCCATCTGCTTTTAATGATGCCACTCACAATGCTGAAAGCACTCATGGCATGTGAGCAAGCTGACAGCATCGCCACCCATGATGTCAATCAATCAACTTCGGGCTCTACTGACTCTCCCTCTCCTCCAAGTCACTTCCTCAACCGCAAAAAACATTCTACCTTGATTCTCTATATTAGTGATACAAAGAATTTTATTGTAACAATTCTTGTCTTCTTTTCATTTTCCCCCACAATGGGAACTTCTTATTTCATTTGTTCTCTTGTTCAACGATATGCATCTATAAAAATCTTAACCCATTCCCCAGTATAGATGTGTATATATGTTTTTATTGAATGTGTCTTTTTCAAACATGGACAAATAAACATGTCCAAAACATAGCATTCAAAAATCAGTTACAGACATGTTTATAAATCAGTCTTGACTTTTTTATGCCCTTCTGAGCTTGAAACGAGTCCATTTGTCAACTTGTACATCTGGTAGAGGTGTTATGCACTGCTCAGGTACTTCAAGGTGGCTCAGTTTTTTAATTACTATATTAAAAACAAATAAAAAAAAAATTGTCTGGAAATGAAATTTTTTTTACCAAAATAATTGGCAGGGAAGGGGTTAATGTCTATTATCAAACCAAAATTAAGAAGTAATGCCTTTATCAATTAAACCTTAGTATGTAACCAATCATGTTTTTGATCATATGATGAATTAAAGAGAACGTTTCTCCATCTCAGGAACTGTAATACTAAACCGGAAACAAAATATATTTATAACAAAATGACTAATGAAGAAATATACTGACAGAAAATAAAATTTCAGCATACTGAAGGACAATGCTGATCTTGATCTAGGTTCAGTGTATGGATGTTAAGGAGATATTCTAATAAAATGTTCAGTCTTTGGCCATCTTGTAATATAGCTACATTTATACCAGTGCATTTTATCTGAGCTTTTAGTTAATGTATTCAGTTAACGCAACAGCTTATTATGCCTTGCATAAAACAGATCAAAGAAGCATGGCATGATCTATTACAGAACATCTATATGATTGAATGAATATGAGAGCACAGGCCTTAATGTCTAATACAGTGTAATATGAGGTCAATGTACTTATGATAGGGCTCTAATTTTACAACCTATACCTGTATTTATCTGTAATCCTGTTATATAAGCTGTGTATTTTATCTTGAGTAAATTGAAACATAATCAGTGTTTCAATTTGATTTCTGTTAGTATATCTCCAACTGTCATGTAATAGCAGTCAGTTTATTGTAAAAGCAAAATTGAAAGGTTGATTACTTACAGCAATGTTGCAATTATACCAACACCCCAAACATCAGCAGCAACACCTGCAGGCTCACCAACAACAACCTCGGGAGCTGAATTAAAAAGAAATTGTTGTGGTCAAGCATAATAGATTTTAAAAGTAAACAAAAAGTGTCTTCATGAAAATAGTTTTCTCATAAAAAAAAAAGGGATAAGATTATACTGTTTTGTCATAGTATATATAAGACATGGGAAACAAACACACACACACATACATATATGTATACAAGGGGGAACCCAAAAGTAACTGGAATTGTGTCATATAATTTTATTCATTTATTGTTGCATGTTTATATTCTTATCACCTTCAAAGTATTCTCCATTTGAAGCAATGCACCAGTCCAGATGTGTTTTCCATTGTTCAAAGCAGTCCTGGAACTCTTGTGAAGTTATGTTTCTTAATAACTCCATTGTTTTCTTCTTAAGCTCTTCCGCATCTGCAAAACGTTTTCCTTTGAGGACTTTCTTCATTCAGAGGAGAACAAAAAAAAAAAGTCACAGAGGGTGTGGAAGTGGGGTCATGTCATGCCATTCTTGTCCAGAAACTGTCTCACACTCAAGACGGTGTGTGCTGGCACATTGTCGTGATGCAACCAGCACACTCTACTTTGCCACAGGTCAGGGCATTTTTGTCTCACCAACACTTCAAGACTTCCAAATAAAAAGCCTGGTTAACAGTTTGACCAGGAGCAACAAATTCTTTGTGAAGAATTCCTTTCACATCAAAGAAACAAATCAGCATTGTCTTGACATTAGACTTCACTTGACATACTTTCATAGCCATGAGCACCAGCTTTTGTCACCAGTGATGACCTTCAAAAAAAAGGTATGGATCAACTTCCAACTGTTCTCTCAGTTTACAACAGGCATCCTTTCAGCCATGGTAAAACTAGACGAAAGGGGTGAAGCACTTAAAAACAAATGTGAACCATGGAGCTGTGTCTTCCCACGATGATACCAGTTAGAACACTGGTGCCTGAGGTTTGCCTCAAGTGGCATCTGGCAGTGGAAGCCTGAACTACTATGGGCTTGTCACACAGAAAACAATTCCAGTTACTTTTGGTCTCTCCTCATATCTTTTAAATGTCTTTTATTAAATATGACAAGGAAAATTTAATTAATGTTTTATTATCTTTTGCAGCATTCTTACATTTTTCCACTTGATGAAAGTGCAAAAAATTTCCATTGTCCCAAGTACTTTTGGCCACTTCTATAGCCATTTTCAGGGGGGGGGTGTTAGGTGTTGTTAATTTTTCTTCATGAAATAAATATAAAATTCACTTCAAGCAAGGCAATAATGTCACCAAAATGCAAGGGGCTACTGGGAGTGAAAGAGAATGAGAAGATTTTACCAGAAACTCATTCATTTATAGTCACTTCACCTAAAGTAAGGTGATAATGCCACTAAGACACAAGAAGCTACTGGGATTGAAAGAGAATGAGAAGAGTTTACAAGGAACAGGAAACTCAATACTAAACCAGAAATAAGGGATAAACCTGTACCCAGTTCAAAAGACTGAGGAGCAGTGAACGTACTTACTCTTATTGAAGAAAATAAAAATAAATAGTAAATAGAATTTCTGAGTTTAGGCAGAGACATCAGAAGCATAAAGTTTAAGTAAACTTTAGAAGAAACCAGAAATCTAATCCTAAACAGGAAACAAGGGATAAAGCACTACTCCTGTTCAAAAGTCCAGGGAGTATATATATATATCTCAAAATCCAAATGGGCAGTAACCGACCACAACTTTGCCATTTCTTATGGCATTGAGCACTCTTTTTTCCAATGTGCAATCTTAGGCAGACTCTTTTGGAATCTGCTTATCTTATTTCTCTAATTACTTATATAATCTCAAAGGAAAAAACTTAACACATCATGAAAAAATATGGTAATAAATTTATTGCAAAATGGTTTAAATATATACAGACAATGTTAAAGATATTAAAACCCTACCTGCTGAAATAAATTTATTACCAGATTTTTTAGTGTGTTTTTTCCTTCAATATATATCATATTGCTCTGTATATAATACATTCAGCTCTCCTCATGGATCTATCTTTTTAATATTTTATATTAAAAAGACCTACTTGGATTATCCTTTCCACTTACATATTGAATATATATATATAGTCAGTATGAATGTATGTGTTTGTGTCATCAATGTCCATTCACTGCAAATATGCATCAAATTTTATATGAAACTTTTTTTGCTAAGTCTCAAAAATACTATGTAAAATTTATTATTTTTTATCCATAATGTTGAATACATTAAAATTATTCGGCTTTTTAACAAGAAAAATATCAAGATGTTAAAAATTGCTACAAAACTGTTGATTTATTTAAGATGGAATCATCTATTATGACATGTTTCCTATTTGTATTTAGTTATGTTGTTATTTATTTTCAATTTTTGGAGTTAAATTGTTCACCTATATAGCTATATAACGCCCATATTTATCTAACAGAGAGATGTAGGTAGATATGGTGAAAGTAGTGTTTCAATTCATGAGCTAATGTATCTATTTCCCCAAATGATCATTTATCACAAATCCAATGATCTGGTTAACATTTATCTTACTGAAGTACATTTCAAATGATTGAACTAAAGATTTGAAACTCATATTGAACATTTAAACAAATAAGTATATTTAATGGAATGATCACTGCAATCATTACAAAAGTAATCATAAAACTAATCCCAAATTCAGATCAGCATTTTAAATTTTTTAAAAATTGCCAGTTCAAATATTAACATAATTTTTTAAAATTTTTTAAAGAACTTGTGCCACTATCTCCAACTCTTCTTCAATGTGCTGTATCCCTTCAGGACATTGATGATCATGGCTCTCCACAATTTCCTGTTCTTTGTAGCTCTTAATATTTTTTTCTTTTTATTATCTCTCCTAAACCCTGTTGCATCATTCAGTTACTCAAGCTTGTGAGGTAGGTTATGCATTGTTTTCCTCAATCCAATCTCTCCTATGAGTCTCAAATTTTCTAAGCCCTTTTTCCGCATTATGTGCTCTAGAAATTTCAACACTCCCTTCCTGATGTTAAATATAAGTCTCCTTTTTGTTTCCATTTTCTCTAAAACTTCATGGTATTCTCAGCATCTTTCTGTAGAACCACATTTCTGTTGCTTCAAGTCTCTTCATCTGTGAGATTTTCCAGCATTCACTGCTGTATGACAACTGATATTACATAGCAGTTCAACACTCTTTTCTTTGTTTCTAATAAAAATGTTCTGTTTCATAATATTTTGCTCAGCTTTTGGAACCCTAGATCTCAAAAAGAAAGGAAGAAGTAAAAAAATGTTTCTTACCCATAAATTCTGGATGTCCATCTTGGGGAACATGTTTTCCAATTGGTGTGACAATCTTCTGAGACAAACTGAAGTCTTTCAACTTGAGAATTGGGCAGATCCTTCCCATTAAGATATTGTCAGGCTGCAAATTTAGATGGATGATACAGAGGAAATGCAAGTATTGCAAAGCATCAAGCAACTGGGTGACAATTCTTGCCACTTCATCCTCAGTATAGCGTGTTCTCGAGGAGAGATGATCAAGGATGTTTTCACTGTCCATGTATTCAAATATGACAGTGTGTATGTTGTTGTGTAGGAACGCACCAATGACAGTGATGACATTAACATGCTGGACAGTGACAAGAAGATTGAACTCCTTCATCAGATCCTCATTCTCTGTTTCATAAGGTGTGTGGCGAGACAGATACAATTCCTTTGTCCGTTTGCTTCTGCACATATTCCACTTGTAGAAAGCACCCCTGAAATTAGAAATAGTATTATTTTTTTTTCTTAAATGTATTAATTTAAATACAAAATGAGCAAAGTACTACTGGGAATTTAAATTTAAGGGTTGATTGATTTGTTTTTTTATGGCTTATCAACTTCTTGTGGAATATTTAATGTTGAAATTAAAGCTGGAAAGAGAAGATCGAGCAGCTCCAGTCCAGATATGGTAAAAACGCTCCATTTTTGGTTTGGTTTGTTTTACAGCATATCAAACTCAATGGGTTATTTAATGCTGGTAATTTTTTTTTTTTAAATGTATTGCTGTTATTTTTTTTTTTTTCAAAAATGTGTAGCTGCTAATATTTTTTTTTTTTTTTAAATATATTGCTGGTAATATTTTTTTCTAAAAATGTATTGCTGGTAATAATTTTCTTCAAAAATTTATTGCTGATAATAATTTTTTACAAAGTATTTCTGGAACTAAAATCTATTTTTACACTTTCATAGTGTTTTAACACTAGTTTGGGGATTAACTGTTTACCCATAGCTGAGACTCTAACAAGTGCTACCATCCCAGGTCAGAGTGGACCTGGGAACACCAGCAATTAAGGTGGTTCCACGCTCCTCAAAACCTCCTGATCAGAGGCCTTACTGTTGAACATAGTTTATCGTCATACTCAGAACAGTCTATTTTTGGTCTGATTTGACTCTTGGAAAGATAGAGCATTGCAGAAGTTTGATTGATTAATTTGTATTTTATGGCTTATCAACCCTTTGTAGGTTATTTAAAACTGAAGCATATTTTGAGGATTGTAAGAACAATTCTTTTTTGTGATTGAATATTGCATGAACGCTTGTTTTGAGAACAACAAGGGTTTTTCAAGTATCACTATTTAAGCCATATTTGGAGGAAGGATATGAATTCATACCTTTCCCAAAGGTATTTGCACATGTTTATACTAGTAGATTTTATTTATATAACAAATAAATATTTCTTCATTTTGGCTACTCCTAATAAATTCTTTTTTGTCATCAATAACTATTTATTTCCCCAGTAAATTCTGTTTAGGTTGAGATGTTGATTGCTGTCCAGGATCTAGTCACAATGTTCTTCTTTATGGATTCTCATAATAAATCCATTTTCATTGTCAATGACTATCCATTTCCCCAGTAGATTCCATTTAAGTTGGCATTTTGAAGGCTGTCCTGGATCTAGCCATGATTTTTCTTCCTTTTGGATTCTTATAATATTTCATTTCTGAGATGAGCAATTTTTAATATTCTTGTATTATTGTGAATCATTATTCTCATCTTGGTTCATATCAGTGTTATTATAGATACAACTCTTCAACCAAATACCCTCTGGTCATCATCAAGTGTCCATTGATTGTCTGATATAGGATATCTGTTAATTAATGGGATATCAGTTATAGTTATTGTTCATTCCTGCTATTTCTACTGGAACAAACAATAAGTGATATCATGGGGACAAAATATCACAATAATCAACAGATATACCATATCAGACAATCAATACCTGATGATGACCAGAAGGTACTTGGTTGAAATGTTGTGTCGATGAGAACAATAGTACAAAATGATAAAAGAATATTGAAAATTACTCATCTCTGAAACAAAATACTAAATGTATTCATTGACTAGATCCAGGACATTGTTTAAAAATTATTTTTTCCTGTGTTAAGCAAGAAAAAGACATGTATTTTATCACTGACTCTTTATCTTTATAAGTTCATTTGAAACCCATTTGTCTAGGTCCCAAACTTTTCCTAAAGTTTATCAATATTCCATTATGACTAGCTGACTGCACAGAGCTGAGTAGACTTTATAGACACTTCTAAGATTTCTACATCACTAACAAAAGAAGTTCTAAGACCTAAAATAGAAAAAAATGTTTCTGATAAAATCTTTTGATACAAACCTGTTAATTTCTTCCAAAAATTCATACTGTTCAGCTGGATCAAAGTTCATGATTTCATCATCCCTATCTCTGTAATATTCTACAACATTGGTTGGCCCTTTTGTACGGTTCAGAGATGAAATAGTTTCAGCATTTCGGCACAACATGATGGCATAGTCAGGATGTTTATACAATGAAAGTGGCTCAGAATCTGAAAATAGCAAGATAAAAATTTCTATTTTGTCTTTCAAGTTTTATTTTTAATATTTAGAGTTCAATTTATGTCTGATTTCCAATTGCTAGCTGCATTCATCAAAATCTCAGATGTTGACAAATAGGATTATTAATTATCCCATGTCTTTGCTCTTCTCTCATACTTTGCCTGTATCTTCTCATTTTCACACTTATCCCTTCCAAACTTCATTGTCTATCCATGTTCTTATCTAAAACTAGCAGAATTGCCTGGCATTGCCTGTGCTTGATTCAAAAATCGTACGACTCATACAGCAATCACTATCACTTGACTTAAAGTATTTTTTGCCCTTCCTTGCCTTTAAAGGAGTGCCCTTTGCCATGCTGATGTCGCTACATGCCTTACTTCTTGCCTATCTCACACTGCAAGTTTTTTCGTAACAGATTTAATGTTTAGTATAGAGCTTAGAAAAAAGAACTAAACAAAATTGACCCAGTTCTGCAGAATCAGAATCAACGTTGAGTTTAAGCAAGTGAATGAGCCAATTGGAGTAAAGTAGCATGCTGAACTGTCTTTTACAAGACTCCACTGCACTAGTCTAACATGGATGAAGCTGGGGTTAACAAAAAATTGCTCATGCAATAATTTATTTTATGGAAGTGTTTTATTTATATGACATCTCCCCCAGGATGTAGACGATTATGGCTCTCCACAATTTCTTGTCCTTTGTAGCTCTTAATAAATTTTATCTTTTTTGTTATTGCCCCTATATCCTAGTCTACCATCCATTTATTTAAGTTCACTAAATATGTTACGTATTGTCTTCCTCTGTCCCTCAAACTGTCCTGTGAGTATCAGATTTTCCAAGCCCTCCTTCCTTATTATATGCCCTAGAAATTTCAACTATCTCTTCCTAATGCTAAGTATATATTTCCTTTTTGTTTCCATTTTCTGTAAAACATCATTGTTGCTCACATATTCAGTCACTAGTTTCCTCAGCATCCATCTGTAGAACCACATTTCTGTTGCCTTCAAGTCTCTTCCTCATCTTTGAGGAGAGTGTTTAGCATTCTGCCATAGAGGACAGATATCGCATAACTTTGTTTCTAACAAAATAAGACTATGCTTAGTGCTACAGTGATGTTACCTCCTGCCATTTCTGTCTGGCTGAGAGCTAGGGTTAACAGCTGAGTGACATCAGGAATGCTTGTTTTGATTGAGGATTGGTGAAATACAGTATTAACTCTGCATTAGCCACGTGGAGTGTTTTGTTATTCTAAAATTTTTAATGTACTCGTAAATTCCTAGTTGGCACCTTGTTTCTTTTGTTCCTTTCCACTATACTACTCTCCTGACTCTGTGAGGTTGTGTAGCACATGATATAGCTCAGTTTTCTTGAGAGGCAGATATCACTTTGTCTTCTTTGAAGTGTTCTATTACCCCACCTGACTAATGGAAGTTTCCATTATATATATATATATATATATATAGTAAATGTATTTGAAGCCAAGGGAAAAACTACTTTCCCATGGACGAAAAGATCATCTGTATGAGGTAAATTGTTTGGATCTCATTATCACTTATATGGTCTATAATAAAAAAAAAATATATTGAGCTCTCTTTTGTGGATCAGTTATAATATTTTATATTAATAGGATCTACTTGGATTACTTACCCACAGATGTTTTTACCTGCTATATATATATAATATATTCAGACAATTATCTGAAGATCACAAAATTGTGAAACCTAGGGTTACAAACTCACATCCATACAACTAATATATATATATATATATATATATATATATATATATATTATTACTTTCAGTGCTGTAATTATGAGTTTGGCTAATGTAATATCTTTCTAGTCATGGAAATGTATTGTGTGTTTCACTGACAATTTACAACATATGTTTATGCAACAGGTTTATTATAATTTTCATTTCAGTGAATAAATATATCTTCAGTTCATGTTTTGATTGTTTGCTTGTTATATCTTTTTTTCAGCAGTACGACAATATTTTGCATAATTGTAACACTATAAGCATTTTTGTATTGGTGTGTGTAAACACCCATTTGAGCCCATTCATTTTCAGAAGCCCAAGGTGACTAATGCAGAGTTAATCAGATATAAATAGATTCAAAGGAAATGAGTGGGTGTACAGTGAACACCCAGGTATGTAACAAATGATAACTAAAAGACTTGAATGGCATACAGCCACAATATTTCACTCATTATACTGTTCTTCTTTTTCAGCTATCTGGTGTATATGAAGAACGTTTGGGAATTTCCTTCAAGATACTAATTTATTTGATATAATAGTTAAGCAATAGATGTGTGGGTAGTAAAGTCACTAAGCCAAGTTTCAATTCTAGGTTAGTCTGTTGTATCACACACTTTTGGACTAATGCTCTTGGAAAAGGTATGAACCTTTCTCTTCTCTTAACTGATTTAAATAACAGAATCTATAAGAAAGACTACCATGGAGAAGGTAATGGGAAACTGTTGGAGAAATATTCCTTTGAATCATACTTGTTATATTTCTAGGGTTGCCATCCCACATTTTGTATCAGCTACAGAAAGAACTTCTGTTGAAGATCCCATGCAACACTTAATCTATGGAGAACTGAGACCAATCTCTCTTAAGCTCAAACAAGGAGAACTGAGACCAATCTCTCTTAAGCTCAAACAAAAATGATTACAGTTTGTCAGCTAGAGAAAGTGTCTTATCCTGACTCTTATGGCATCCTACTGGAAATGTCTTATGAAAATTGACTTTCCCAGACACCATAGCAAAAGACTCAGGGTTCGATATTGGTCTTGCATTGCTGTCCCCAGATCCCCAAACAGTGTGAAAATGGATTGTCAATGGAGTTCCAACCAACCATAGAGAGGTCAAAGGAGGATGATGATGATGATGGTATTTGTAATTTTTATATTATTGATGCCAGATTACTACACTTTCTTCCATACAAGGGAATTTCAATGAGTATTTTATAGTTGCAGAACTCGCAAGGAGCTTATTCACTCATTAACTTGAGAATTAAGATTCATCAGAAAATTATACCATTATCTTTCCAAAGAATGGAGTTCACAGATAATAAAGAAAGGAATCTGTCGAGAGTCATAATTATCCTATTTTCTAAATAGATATGGCAAAGCTCAGAAATAATTAACTAATATATGAGAACAATCTATCCTGATGGACTAAATAAAGTATTCATTTCAAAATTCTCTGAAGCTTACCAAATATGACAGAGTAATGCATAATATTTCAAATTAGTTAATATTATTTTTTATGATTAAAATAGGATCAAATTTCAACCAAATTAGTCACCATTGAAGTTTATATTTACAGTCATTAATTTGTTTTAATAACTAATACGATCAATACTTTTTTTCTTAGAAAACAAATAAAACTATTCACTTACTTTCTGGTTTGGTTGTTACAACTGCTGAAGCAAAACTGTAAGGACTGAGCCCGAATTTATTCTGACAAGAAACCCTAAATAGGTAACTAGTGTCTGCCTCAAGATTTCCAATATAGGCACATTCATTGATTGTCTTCAAGCTCTTCCTCCATTGATAATCATCTGTCAAACAAAAAAGAAAAACACTTTTGAATAAAGTATGAAACAACATGAAGTAAAAGCCTGACATATAATAGAAGAATAAATATAATAATATATTAGGTACATGGCCAAGTGGTTAGAATGTTCATTTTCCATCCCCAAGACCCACATTCAAATATCACCATTGTCAATTTGTCAGAGAGGTGACTTCTTACTAACATACAGAACCAATGGAAAATGTTTGAACACTTCCCCATGGGTTGACCAAAACTTTTTGAGTAAAATTGTGTAGACAGAAGTGTTTGTTCTAGCACAACCATTGATAGCTCCCAAAGTCACAATTTATAATTGAGAGTTTGAACAATGTCTCACAAAAACTGTAACTAAGTTCTGCTCAGCATAGTTGCAGTATAAACCACAAGTTGTCACTGTAGGTGTTGAACAAACACAAATGTGCCTAAGCAGGCATCTACAACGGGGATTTGCTAACTGCCTAAACAGAATGAGTGTGCTGGGAAACTACTAGTTGGCCATTTTATATATATATATATATATATATATATATATAATAATCGACTCCCCGTCGAGATTCGACGAAAAAGAGGGTCAAACAGATCAGTTTCAGGAAACCGACAGCCCGACACCGGCACATGAGATTTGATTATAGTGGTGAAGGCCTTGTGCTGGACCATCCACACTTTTGAAGGACGAATACAGAGACCTGGTGCACCGAATGCCACAAGGTTCCCAAACGACCCTCCATGAGGTTTGAATTCAGAGTTGTCCTTCTCCTAGACCAGTTGCCATCCAAGGCTATAGAACCCAGTCTGTCCTGCTATTTTACCCATAGCTGGAGGGAGAGGAAGAGGATTCATACCTTTCCCAAGGGTATTAGCACGTAAGTGAATGTAATGGATTCGACTGGAATTCAAACTTGGCTCTGCGATTCCTCAATCCAAGCCGCTTATCCATTACTCCACTGTGCCTCCTATATATATATATATATATATATATATATATATATATATACACACAATAAAACTGTTTTTACAAACAAGAATATATATCTTGTTTGGGAAATGGTTATATCAAAAAAATATATGAGTGCTCTATTGTAAATACTTTTAAAAGAGCTTTTCATTACACACAAAAATAACATTTTTATCTCATTTACCAATTAACAGGTAAATAAGACAACTTATATATATATATATATATAATGTGTGTGTGTAATTTTAATTAAATTTCCAGTGAACAGGGTCCAACAACTCATCAGGTGGTCAGCAATTGACATGTGAAAATGGTTATTTTATACCCTTAGGTAAGCCCAAGATGTTACACGTGTAGCTGATGCATCCATACCATGCACACAGCAACTAAAATCACTGGTCAGAGGTGAGAAAATGTTCAGCCATCCAAGATGGAAATGTTGTAAATTCATAATTATTTTGAATAAAATAAAATAAAAGGTTCAGAATTGTACTCTTAGGAGCTGCTTATTTCCTTATTCTATTCATATATCAAACTAACAATAATTTTTACATCATTAACATTCTTTAATGCAAGATTTTATATATATATATATATATATATATATATATATATGCCCAGTCCAAAAGAAAGATTTTTTTTTTTTTAATTTGTCTTTCTTTTTCTTACATTCTAACTGGGACACAGTTTTGTCTTTCAGACACCAACCTAACACGCAAAGATGAAATGCTTCTTTTTTCAATATGTCTCATATATATATATATATATATATATATATATATATATATATATATAAAATAAACTCTCATTCCTGTAGGTTTCAACATAAAAGAATCTGATAAATTAACCAATGGATTCAGTTATGAATTTTGTACAATAATCATAAGTGGCACTTAAGACTCACTAGTGATTTGCAAAGGAGGCTGCATAAGATGAGGTTACTGTTAGATTGGCTGAGCATTTAGATCTTGAAAATGATTCAGACTAGCAGATTGAAAACTGCTGAGTCCACTAAAACATGTTGATCTCCACTCTACCTGCTCCAAGGCTAAGCACGCTAGGGTGTTTATATATATATAACTTTTTATTATTAACTTATAAGTTAATAATAAAAAAGGAAAAGCCAATACTCAGTAGCATTAACTATGAACACAGCCACAATGTACTGACCATGTTTGGAAAATAAACCATTCTTATAACTTCAGACACATACATAAAAAACCTATACATTTAGTTAAAATAAAAATAGTCTTTGATAATGGCTAAAAGAATACCCCAAAGCATTCAGATATGCAGAACTTTTGAACAGTTTTTACACACTTTGTACAGAAAAGAAAACACTTGTATGAACACAAGACAATTTAGATAAAAATCTTAATTGCAGTACCTTGTCAGTTGACTTTAATGAAACTTGTATAAAAGAGGGATTGCTACCCAAATATTATATATATATATATATATATATATATATATATATATGCATTAAAGAACACACTGAATTAAATTTTTTAATACAAAAGTAGTTTCAGAATTATGAAATATATGGTGGTGAAAATTATCATTAAAAATAAGCAAATAAATTTTGAGTTTAATGCTCAGCAATAAAAAAAGTTCTTGTTCAAGGAGCAACAAGGAAGAAAGACACTTACCAGCTTTTTTGCAATATACTCTATAGAATAAAATAGGACAGTCACCATCTTGGGAAGGTGGATCCCACACTAACAGAGCTTCATGGGCAGATATGGCTGTGATAATAGGACATTCAGGTTGGCCTGGATTATCTGCAAAAACAAAAGAAAAGGGTTTATGACAAGGATGTATCTTCTCACAAATCTTAAACCTTTACAGTGAAGCAATTCTGAAACAATTAGAAGTCCTACCAGGATTTATTATTGGCAGCAACAACTGTAACAACATAAGATATCCAGATGACACAGTGTTGATAACAGACAGAAAAAGGAAACTACAGGAATTTATACAGAGGATAGTAAAGGAAAGCAAGAAGAAAGGACTAAACATCAATTGTAAGAAGATAAAATATATGGTTGTCAGCAAAAGGAATAGACCAACATGCAAATCCTAAATTGAAGGCACACAAATACAAAAATCTAAATATATAGGAAGTATGGTATCAAAATTCAAAGGCACATTGAGATCACAAAAGTTGCCTTGCAAAAGCTAAGCAGAGTATTAAAAAACAGGTAAATTTCATTACAAACAAAAATTGAACTGTTATGTAATATTGATCCTCCTGTATTGTAGTGGATATTGGACAATCACCTCACAGATGTAGAAAAGACTTAAAGCAACAGAAATGTGGTTCTACAGAAGGATGATGAGAATAACATGGACTGAACATATGAGCAACAAAGTTTTAGGAAAAAAAATGGAAACAAAAAGCATACTTAACATCAGAAAGAGATAGTTGAAATTTCTTGGGCATGTAATTAGGAAAGAGGGCTTGGGAAATTTGCACTCACAGGAGATACTGAAGGCAAGAAGGTCAGAGGAAAATAGCACATAACCTAACTAACAAACTTGTGTAGATGGTTGGCAGAACAGGGATTAGGAGAGATAGCAAAAACTCAAAAGTCAAAATTTTTATTTTTCCTTATATTTTTTTAACAAATGACATATAATCCAGAACAACTTAACTCGAAATGATGTAACCCAAGGTATACCTGTATAATCAAGATGTTAACTGCTTGACTAACTTAAAAAGTTTGGAAGAAAACTTACTTCATTTAAAACAGTTTCCAGGGAATTAGACACCTTAAGAAAAAGATGATATAAATTTCAACACTAACTATTCAGTCAATGAATACCGAAAGTTTCTTGTATTGTCATATAGGAAGAAAATAAGTAACTACCAACACTGAGGTTTGAGCATGACACTCTGTACTTATGAATATATGTTTTCCACCAGGTGTATAAATAGCATTGTCAGGCTACTGACTGCAGTGACTATTGAGTGGAACTATCCAATCAAATTAGTGTGCATTAGTGAGTGTCGATGATTTGAGTTTTGATTTAGAATTTACCGGACATCAAGCCGAGCCACACTACTAAAAAGGTATTCACTGAAATGGTTAATTATCTTTGGTTGACTTTTACTTCTTTATTCTTGTTAAGTATTTATTTGTGGTTGTAATTAAATACTGTTTTATCTTAATATTAAAGTCTTGAGTTATACTTAATCATTAACGGTCACTGTACATCACAAAATACATGAAAACAGCTATTCTTACTATTACTATCTTGTCATATTTTTACTATGATAATAGTAAAAGAAAAGGTTATAGTTTAACTTCCTCCCCTAAGAGCCAAGTGCTTGAGAATCATGAAATTAAATAGGAGATATAATAGAATTATTAAACTTTTTAAAATGTTTGAAATATAAAGATTTAAAATTACCAGATCCACAGTATTTTCTTTTGTACTCAAAGATAATTAATAAAAAAGATAGAAATACATATATATTAGCAGTACATAAGTTTGGGTTCAAGGGTCAAGTCCTGTAATTATGAGTTTAGCTAATGTAATATCTTTCTATTTATGGAAATATATTGTGGCTATTTCTGATGAGTAAATATTTTTTCTATTATTGTATTGGTGTGTTTGACCTACAATTTACATGTTTATGTAACAAATATATTATAATTTTCATCAATGAATAATTATATCTTCAGTTCAAGTTTTGATTTAATGTTCAAGTTGATTGAAAAGTAACTCCCAATTTTATGCATGATGGACTCTCCTATCTTGTAAAAATTATAGTTAGACAGGAGAGTCCAAGATGGGAGAGTCCATCATACATAAAATACGGAGTTACTTTTCAATCAACCTGTAGATTGTAATGAAGATTGTCTGTTATGTTATTTTTTTCAGCAATAGGACAATATTTTATGTAATTGTAATACTATAAGTGTTTTTGTATTGGGGTGAACTATCCATTTCCAGAAATCCAAGGTGTCTAATGCAGGGTTAAAAAATGAGAAAAATATACTTACTAAAAACATAGCTCAAGAACTTATGGTTTTGATTATTAAAATTTATTTTTCATGGGATTATTGTTTAAATTTTACAGGTGCTACAATTATTTTCCTTAAGGTTTTATAACTAAATTTTGCTTTTTTATAAATTAATAATTTAAAACTGTATTTCAGCAATTTTTTTTTCACAATAAAACTTTAATGCTCAATAATAAAGTTGATAAAAATTGCATCAGTATAACATCAAGTATGGTTAAAATAATTCTAAGAATTTTAGTAAAGAAATAGAGAGACAGGGATGGTTAAGCAAAACCAATTACCGTAAATTTACAGCATATAAGTCAACCTCAACATTTTAGCTCAAAATTCTGAGTTAGGCTATACCTACCATATAGGTTGACCCCAAACATACAGTCCTGTAATTATGAGTTTAGCTAATGTAATATCTTTCTATTTATGGAAATATATATTGTGGCTATTTTTGATGAATATTTTCTTTATTATTCTATTGGTGTGTTTCACCTACAATTTACAACATATGTTTAGGCAACAAATTTATTGTAATTTTCATTTCAATGAATAATTATATCATCAAGTTTTGATTTAATGTATAATGTAATGGAGATTGCCTGTTGTGTTGTTTGTTTTTTTGTTTTTTTCAGCAGTATAACAGTATTTTACAGAATTGTAACACTATAAGCATTTTTATATTGGGGTGTTTGCACCCCACAAGGAACTATCCATTTTTGGAAGTCAGCCTCAACTTTTTAGTTCAAAATTGTGAGTTAGGCTATATCTATCATATAGGTTGACCCCCAAACATACAATAGGTTACCAGTGAACCACAACTAAGGCCTACTAAAATATATTGTATATTCAATAAACTGTCATCATGTGTTATTAAACTCTCATTACTATAATGAGGTTGTGCAGATAACACATATTATACACAGTTGTCAAAATGGCTGCCTGAGTTAAATGGTGCTTCAGTCAGTGTTTAGACTTAGTGTATCAGAAGTTGGAAACAATGTCTGGTGAACTATTAATAGAATACTGAATTTGTGTAACTATTTTATTATTTTATATTAATTTTTGTGTTGATATGCCAAGTTTTAGTGGGATATATTTGTGGCAGCCTACTGGAGATACAGTAAGTAGTGTACAGTAATTGTTAGGTGTGCTTTCTCACTTATTTACAACTCAATGGTAATGGTTATAAATCGACCCCTAGTTTTGGAAAGATTTATTTTAGGTATGAAAACTTGACTTGTATGTCACAATTTACAGTCATTTCTGATAAGGATAAATGATTTATTTTACATACCTCCCAAAATTAATTTTGCCCTGCAAACAGTACGTCCCATCTTATTTCTGGCCACACACTTGTAGACACCCACATCATAGGGTTTGGCACTGATAAGAGTCATTGATGACACACCATCTTCACTGAGAGACATACGGATTCGGTTGCTTTTGGTGAGGAACTCTTCATTTTTGTACCAGGCTACAGTGACAGTGGGTCTACCACGGATCAAGCACATGAATGTAACATTATCTCCAATTCGTACAACCTGGTCAGTGAGTTTGGCTCGGAAAATCGGACGATAGCCTGTTGATGAAAAATAAAATGGATTAGAATTAAAAACTGAAAAAAAAAAGGATTTTATGGAAAAAAAGATGTTTTCACAGTAGAGACTATACTTTCCTGCTAATAACCCATAATTTTTTTTTTTTTTTGCTGTGTTACAGATAGTATCTGAGTGGCTCTCTGGCAAAATTGTACACACTTTCATATCATATACTAAGCAGACATATATCATGAAATTCCAACATGTGAAAATAAAACTTGTACTCATTAAGAGTCATCAATATTAGCTGAACATTTCTGGAAAACAAATAATAGATGGGAGCACAGTTAGGCGGAAGATAATGCAATTCAGCAGTGGCAACAGCCATGTGTATAAAATAATATTAGATTGTTTGCTGATGCTGATTTTTATACCCTGCCATTAACACAGATATATAACGGACAATTTCATTTTGATTGCAAGGAAAACAGAAGATATATCAGAGAGGCTGTTTGGTTCTAGTGAGAAAAAGAAAGCATAGATGATAATAAGAAAGGTAACACTGCTTTCATGCCTTTAATATGTGCTTCAGTGGAACAGAGAAGCTTTGTCAATTCCAAATCTTTTCATTTGTACCCTCTTACTTCTTTAAATAATGACCTGTATTCATACTTATGATTGTTATTGTAATATATGGTTAAATCTGTTAAGGGACATTGCTTTCTACTGTCCACCTGATTACTTTCTTCTCTTCCTGCTCATCATTAATGTTTCTGTTCCTAATTCTTCCACACCCTGTAGCCCTTTGTGTCTTAGTGGCTTTACTGCCTTGCCTGGGGTGATACCAATTAAAAAAAAAAACAAAATATGTTTTGGTTTTAAATAACCCACAAAAGGTTAATAAGCTGTAAAAACAAAATCAATCTTCCCATTTGTACCCTCTTACTTCTTTAAATAATGACCTGCATTCATACTTGTTATTGCAATGTTTTATTAAAGTTGTTCAACTCAAATGTTTAACAATGCAATAGGGGGATTTTCATGGATATTTTGTAGCTATACAACTTGCAATTATGAGTCGTTAGAAAATTCAAATAGGAAAGCAATTAAATTATCCCCAGGTACTGATGGTATAAATTAGATGCCATAATCATGAAATACTTAGCAGTTCAAATGATTGCATCTCTACAAACCTTCTATGATCAAAATTTGGGCTTTTATATATTTAAGCCTTTCCAAATCCACAGCCATATCACAGCTCCCTGATTGACCCTGTTTTCAGAAGTGTAGTTGTACTCACTATACTTGACCAATTGAAGGCTGGTGTGGCTATTTAATCTATAGTTGGTGGTCATTGGCTTTGGCCCTTTAACAGCTCTTGTTTTTTTGGGGTTTTTTGTGCTGCTGGGATTTCCACTTACCCTCCTCACCAGACCAGGCTCTGGTGATGGAGCAGGTTTATTCCCCCAACCACTCAAAGTTTGAATTCAGAGTTCTCCTTCTCCTAGACTTGTTGCCACCCAAGGCTATAAAACCAAGTCTATCCTGCTATTTACTTATAGGGGGCGGAGAGATGGATTCATATCTTTCCCAAGCATATTTGAATGCAATGAACTCGACCAGAATTATGTCTTCAAAGTGTAAGTAAAAAATGAAGTTAATATGAAGATTGAAGTAATAGATATGATGAATCTTATTTTTAGCCATTACATTCAACTAGTGAGTCCCCCTGGCCTTTTACTGTTCTATGAAGCAACAAATTGTCTACTTTCTAGTCTCCTCTTTCTACCTAGTCAATAAACAAATGATTTTCTGGCCTGTGTTAAGGCTGTAATCAGAAAAATAATGAGAATACTCAGCTGAACACTTCTTCAAATAATGACATTCTTTCAAGCAAAACAGTAGTCAAAAGAGAAGAATGGCAGTGCCATCTTTAATTCTCTATTGAAACATCATTATTCCAAGTTATTATTCAAAGAATGGAACTTGATCTTTGTGTTTACACTAATACAAGATTTCAGCCAATCTATTTTATGGCCTTCATTTCTCGAATCCATATAACAAAAGAAAAGAGCCTCTTTTCTTCAGCGATTAGTGATTTTGTTTTCAATAACCTGTATAACACAGGTGATTCCAATTTTATACACAGATGCTTTCCAATTCTGTTGCTTCTAAACAAAGACATTCATACTTGGAATGAGCTGAGCCAGAAGGTATATTAGTCATCAGTTCATTTTTTTCATTTCCAGTTTCTGAAGAAAAGAGCCTGATTTCTTCCTTATGGATTATACAATTAAAGAAGGCTGTACAACTGATTGGCTGAAATGTTGCAGTAACAACATATGCAATACAAAGAACGAATTCAATTTTCTTGACAAAAAGAATATCATTCATAACAGAATTCTTCATTAAGTTAAGGATTATAATTTTTCAATAGCAAAATATCTGAAATACAATGTGTATGTGTGCATATACAGTGCTGTTTGATAAAAAGTGACTCACCTGATTTTTTTTACTAAATGTTCTCTTTTCTTCAATGAAATTAAAGTTGAGCTAAATTTAAAGGATAAGCGATCTAAAATCCGAAGAAGAAGCTTTGAAAGCTCTTTGAATCTAGCAGTAAGTATTGTCAAGCATTCATTCAGTATAATGTTCTGAAAGGGTGCAAATCAGCCCCACCAAGCTCACTAAGTCACTTTTTTTTGCACAGAGTTTTTCCCTAAATCTCATTTATATCCAAAATTATAATTATCATTAGAATACCTTAGGGTGAATAAACTTTTTTACTAGGTGGTCAGGAAGGGGTCTTTATATTAGTAAGATTAAAAATTAGTTTGGCCCCAAAAACAATAGGTGAAAAAAAATTTCAGTAAAAAAATCAGGTCAGTCACTTTTATCGAACAGCACTGTATATATATTAAAGATAAACAAAAAACATTGGTGGAACCAGATACAGTATCAAGACGACAATACTGAAAAAAGAAATAGAAAAAAATGCCTGAAAGCAATTTTACCTACTCGATAAAGTGCTCGAAGTCTAGATTGCCTAGACCAAGCAAAAAACACTTACCAATATTAAGTTCTATGAATATGTGTATATATTTATATATACTCTACATTAAACATAATACCTTTCACCACAGGATACAGCACTTTAAAATGATATAAACTGATTAACCAATGAAAATTGAACAACACAAAAATAAAAATACCAGAAGATCTTTCTACTTTTTTTCTCCATATCTCATTCTCTGATGAAGCTTTAATAAAAGTGAAACATTGTAAAAGTGTGTCCTATTTGTTATTTATCCTATCATTCTGCCAAATTCCAATCCATATTTGATCCCAATTTATTTATATATATATATATATATATATATATGTGTGTGTGTGTCTCTATGAGATATTACAGATTTTCTTTTTATTCTCGCTAGCAAACTGAAGAATCATAATCAAATGGAAATTTTACTTATAAACAGTATGCATGTGCATTTTGGGGGGTGGGGGTAATTGCCATTCTTTATCGTTGTTTATTTTGGAAATGTATCCAAGGAATTATTTGTCTGAGAGGCAAAACATTTTGCCAAATAGAAACTGTTGCTTGTATGGAATCACAAATCCCAAGCTTGACTGATTTACCATTCCAAATTGGATACTTATAAGAATTTCACCAACTGAGAAGAGTCATTCTCAAGAATACTGTTGCCAAGTGAAGTCATTCTGCATTTGATGAGAGACAAGCAGACATCACATGATAAATTACCATGCTTTCAAACAGGATTCAAAGAACAAGAACTTTGAAGAGAATGTCTGGAGAAGAGATAGTGAGTTGTTGAAGATGTTCAAAGAGTTTCAAAGATTAAGACAGAATATTTCAATATCAGAAAGAAGGAAAAGACCTTGCAAAAAAAACTGATATCAAGACTAGTCAAACATAGTGTTGACATAGTTGTAATAAATATTGTAAACAATTATTATTGCACCTTTTGATTTTCCTATTCTTTTCTTCATCCCTTGCAATTATTGATACCTTTCTATATTTTTAGCTAAATATTATACAATCATAGATATTTTCATATGCAAACAAGGATTTTCTACTGTGTCCTCTTATTTAATTTTTCTTTTGGTTTCTGTTGATGGGGAATGACCAAAACAGTGGTTGGAAATTAAATGCTAATCTTTATAACATCAACAAAATACAATACTCGCCAATTGCATAAAGTAGGTAAACCACTGCTAGTGGTGGACTACTTAGACAGCATATTACCACCACTTACAATAGTTTCCAATATATTTATGAGGACTGGGTCATACCTATTAGTGTTCATAAGTACAGCATATAACAGTCTCTCTATATAAAGAATCTTATTAAAGTTTTCAAATCTTTCTATCCCTGTCTACATTTGAATCATTGTCTCTTTACAGACAGCCAAATTATATATATATATATATATTTGTGTATTGGGGCAGCAGATCATTATTTAAACATATTGTTAAATATAATAGACAATGAATGTCTATTATGTTTGATCATAAACCATTCTAAATTTCATATAGTTGCTTTTGGGTGAAAATAAAGACAAAAATTGTCCAACATTTGGATATTTTTTTATTAAGCTGTTCCTTGATCTAATCTTTCGGGTCACATGAGCCATCTTCAGAGTGGTTATACGGATATTTAAACAAAGATATTCACCATCAAAGATGATATTCTGTTATGTTGAAATAGAAGATTGCTATGCAATGATAACAGTCACGGAATAGCAAATACAGATTGTAAAAAAATATCTAAATGTTGGACAATTTTTCTCTTTATTTTTGCCCAAAATTAAAACAAATATACAGAGTTTAGAATGGCTTATGATCAAATATAATCGACATTCATTGTTTATATATATATATATATATATATATATATATATATATATATAATATATATGCGATGGATAAATTGTCGCTATTTCATATTTTTAATTTCACACATGCGCATTTTTTGATTTTGTCAGCTGCACAGTATAGTAGGGTCAGTTGGGCACCATCTGGGAGAAAAAGAGCACCATGACACAATTCACTCTGCCAGAAATTTGGAAACAGCATATTGTACTGCTTGGCATTCACACTGGAAGCTCCAATAAAAACATTTCAGTGTTTGACTGCAGAGGATTCAGAAAGAGCTGGGAGAGTCTAATGGTGATTACAAAGGTATTTGGCATGATCACTAGTGATGTTGACATTATCCCTCCATCCATCTTTTCACAGGGTCTCAGACTCAACACAGAGGTCTACATCAAGTGCCTTGAGGAGGTAGTGCTGCCCTGGGTCAAGAGGGTGACTGCTGGAAGACCAAAAAAGATTCCACAATACAACACACACTGTTTAAATCAAAGCATCTATTGGTTAGAAATTAACATCACCATGTGAAATATCTGATCAATCACAGAAAACTAAACCCTTTTTTTTTTTCTTGGGCCTACTTTCAGGAAAAATTTTTTATAAAAACACACAGATTTTGACTTTCATAGAGCAGAGATGCAACAATCTCAAAGCCAAAAAGATGTGGCTAGATAGTTTTTACCTTCTGCCCAGCATGTGCTGAAAGAAACTTTTCATCCAATTTTGATGAATTTGTTTGAGAGATAATCCTTCAGTGCCAGTTTTGAGCCCAAATTGTTAGCGACAATGGCTCTCCACTGCTTCCTGTCCATTATAACTCACAGCAATGTTTTACTATCTGTTCTTGGATATATATATTTCATAAAAACTTTCATAAAAATAGTTTACATTATTACAATAATATTATTTATTATTATAGTTCTTTTTTCAGTCCCCCACATTCAAATTGTTAACCCCCCCCATTTTGGGATGTGCCTTAGTTGCACCCAAATGTTGTGACTAATATTGATTTTTCAGTTGGCTGACTTTAAACTTAAACTGCTTCAATTGAACGGCAAAAATTCCCAGTAATAAAAGATCTGGTCAAAGACTGGTTATATTACTAGTTATTTTATAATTATTACTAGATTTTATTTTATTAATTTAATTGTTTTATAATTAAAAATTTTTAAAAACTTTCTTTAATTATTTTATAATACCAGATTTTATTTTTTTAATTATTTTATAATTAATACCAAATTTTATTTTAATTTTTTTAATAATTTTATATTACCAGATTTTATTTTAACTTAATTATTTTATATATTACCAGATTTTATTTTAACTTAATTATTTTAATTTCAGTTTTATAATTAATACCAGATTTAACAGTAGGCATTAATAGATTAATAATATATTTCTGTCCATTCCAAGTGTCCAGTTCTGCAGAGATACATTGACTAAATTGCTTACAGGCTAATAATATCATAAATAACTCACCTTCCTTTGGCATGCCAACACTTGGTTTTCTCTCCATCACATAAACCTGACCTTCCTTCTCTCGATTGAGTTGTCTTTCGAGACGTTCATCAGAACTTGCAGAAATCCATTCATCTTCCTTCTCTATTTTAGCTAGTTTGTCATGATCGACATCCAACTCTGAAAGGCGTCTCCTATCTCGACCTGCCCTTTTCATGTTCTCCTCATCTTCAAACATGCTGATGTCACCCTCAGTTTCACCTTCAGCTGACACATTTTCATTATCCTTATGTGCAAGTTTCAAGAATTCTCGGCTACGCAGTGAGAACTCTGATTCACTCCTTCGCTCAAATCTTTTGTTCCAGTCAAATCGAGCTTCTGAGTCAAGAAACTCGCCATATTCTCGGGAATCGGGGAAGGTCAGTTTTCCAGTTTCAGGGTCAATTTGTGGTTGGAGGGAGGGAGTGGTGGGCACAGCTAATTCCATCTTTGTTAAACTCTCAAGACGAGCACATCGTAGCACAGCATTTTTCTTCCTCTACAAATAACAAAAAAAAAAAAAAATTTGGTTGCTTGGTTTTTGTCTAGTGGCATATCAACTCTATAAGTCATTTAATGTCAATTTTTAAATATTTTGTTTGCAATTATATTTTTTTTTACAATAATAATGGTAATACAAATTTTTACTAATTAACTCACAGCTGGGGGAGAAGAGATGGATTCATACCTTTCCCAAGGATATTTGTACATAAGTGATTAGAACGAACCCAACTGGAACTCAACTCTCCAATTAACAATTCTGAGCCATTATTCATTACACCATCCACACATCCAAGTTTACAGTGCCTGGTATTCCCAAGTGGTTACACATCTAGGTACTCACACTGCTTAACTTCAGTGATCATATAGGAACCAGTGTTTCAACATAATGTGGTCACAAGATATAAAATTTTCTAATCCATGTCATGCTGGTACCATCTGGACCAGTTAAAACTTAATTACAGCCTTTATTTCATGGCTTTATCATCAACTAAAAATGCTAATTAATCATTGAAAGTTTCTGTGTGCAAATATCCAATATTAAATTGTCTTGAAAACTACCATAGTCTTTCATTTTGAATAAATTAAAATTATAATAGTGTACTATATAAATTCATGTATAAGCTGACTTTATGTATAGTATAACCACTGAATTTTTTGGCATGAATTTTAACCCCTCCAGAAAAAAAATTTACCTGTGTATAGTTCAGTATGTTACCAAAAATGCATAATTTTTAAATTCTTAAAAAAAAACAAAAAAAAAATTACCTGCGTATAGTGCAACCAGTCACCAAAAATGCATGATTTTTAAAACTCTTCAAAAAATTACATGTGTATAGTGCAACCCCATACAAATTTTTGCATAAAAAATGGTTCATAAAAACTCACACCATACTCAAGTACATATATTAATTTAATAGTTTTTAATTACAACTGGTATGTGAAGAATTAGACAAGTCAATTCAAATTAGAATTTCCTATGACTCTAAACATTATTTTTGTGGGTATACATGTTTGAGTAGACACCCTGTTTTGTTTTTATTTATGATAAAGAGTAGGAATTATGTCTACCAGCCTGTGCATTTGAGAGACTTAATAAAGGAAAATGTGCTCTCTTGAACTTTGCAGGGCTGTGATGATTTCTGTGGTCAAGTGGTCAAAAGCAGAGTTTCTCAACTCAACAAGTGCTACTAGTACTATGGTAAGGCCATCCACACAAAAACCAGTTTCTCCATAAAAGTTTTTCTGGTGAGGACAGTGGCTAGAGATACATTAGTATTAAAAACAAGACCTGTTAAAGAGAGTTGTAGAGTCTACAGCCATCTAGCACAATTGGGTAGACTGGGCTCTATAGCTATGGATACAGCCAATGTACAAGGATGACACAGTATCAGTGGGTGGGGAACTTCCTAGACTCAAGTTAACAGCCAGGACAGAGGGTTCTTTGATGGAATCAACTGTTATGAGTCTGTGACCAAAGTGAGCCTTCAAGTTCTAAGACAGTTGAGTTTTGACCATGATAGTCTTCACAAGTGTTTATTTGATCAAGACACACACTCATGAATGAATATCTCTTTGGCTTTCAACCCAGTTGTGTGGATGAAACTGATCAGTTGCTCAGCAACTTTATGACTACACTTGGTCTGATGATGTATTCTTGAAAGCTGATTGGTTCTATGCAAATTCTAATGTACATAACTTAGCCAATCAACACAATCATTGGTGTAGAACATAGATTTCATTATGGCTATCAATGCATGGGACCTGAATAATTTAGATATAAAATTGGTTTCTTTGGTTGAATTCTAACACTTGGTAGATTCAAAAACATACAAAACAGTCACAGAAATCCTATAAAAAAATTTAAGATATTTGTATGGTACTTGCTTACAAGTGGGAAATGAGACCTCAGTGAAATTCTAGCATTTACAATTATTTTTGATTGGTGAGATAAGGAATTTTCAATATATCATATGATATTGGATTTAAAAGACTCCAAAGCTACAACATTAATGTTCTCCGGTATGGTGGCATATTGGATATAAGCATTTATTATCATAAGAACAATCCTTGGATCTAGGAATGAAATCTATACACTCTGATACAAAATATACCTTATTAGTTAAAATAATGAACACCTGAAGATGATCAGAGAGTAGTAGGTTGAAACATGTTTATAATAATCAAAAATGAGAACACTACTTCAAATATTCAGTATTTAAAAAGTTAGAAACTTTGCTGCTGAGATTTTAACTCACATGGCCATTCTGCTTAGGAATTTGAACATAATCACAATAGACTCCTCTTTATAAATGGTATCTGTTCAAGTTACATATGCCAATGACTATTGAACAATAAGCTTTCAAGTAAGATTAATCAAAGAAAACATTAAAAATTGCATTTTCTGTCTGCAATATAGAATTGTTGCTACTAACCATTGCCAGATCTCGTTTATGGAAAGCTTCAAGATTTTTCAGATCTAATCGAGCTCCTTGCCCCTTCTTGCTGGCAAACTCTAACCATGGGTGGCTCAAGCATTCATCAATTTCCAGACGATCACTAAAAAAATAGAAATAAACAAAATTGTAAGATATATAATAAATAAAAAAAAATATCAGTGTTTAAATACTAATGTTAACGAAAAGGGATTTTTATTAATCTTTAGCACTCTGCATTATTCATTATATTACTTTTACTTCTGCTGTATATATATCAACCCCTCAACCGCAACTAGTCTAGTTCAGTTTCAGCCAAGATTGTTTTAGGTGTTACCATAGCAGGATATGACAACAAAACCATGAAATTCAAACAAACTATAATTCAATTATTGAAATTATCTGTAGAACAGTTTTTTTCTTGATGCCTGCAGAGTGATTTAAGAATGTTATAAACAAAAATAAAGAAACATTCAGTTTACTTACAGCGGATCTCTTTTAAGAAGACTTCCAATAAAATCTTTGCCTTCAGATGAAATTTTCTTAAAAGCTTCTTCATCAAAATTCCAAATTCCTTTTTCAATCAAATTCAAAGTTTCTTGGACTGAACCCCCATAGAATGGAGAGATGCCACTCAACCTGAAGAACGGTACAAAAAGAAAGTTTAGCACAATGCCAAATAAATAAAATTACATAAAAATGAAATATGTAAAAACCTTTAGTAATAATGCCATTGAATTTTTAAAAATATTTTTCTTCTTTTATGTGCCATGTCCCTTCAGGACGTGGGCGATCATGGATCTCCATGTTTTCCTATCTTTTGTAGCTCTTAACAAACAATGTTTTTCTATTACTATCCTTCCTATTCTGTTCTGCCATCCATTTACACAAATTTGTTAGGTAGATTACTTGCTGTTTTTCTCTGCTCCTCTTGCCTTCAATATATCTTGTGAGTGTCAAATTCTCCATGCCCTCTTTCTTCATAATGTATCCCAAAATTTCTGTCTCTTTCTGATTCTAAGTAGTAGTGTCCTTTTTGTTTTTATTTTCTTTAAAACTTCCTCTAAGTGTATTTTTTTTAGCATCCTTCTGTAGAATCACATCTCTCCAGCTTCGGGTCTTCTCTTTATCTATGAGAAAATTTTTTGAACATTCACTGACAAATAGGAGTGACATTCCATAGAAACAAAGGAAAAAATGCTGAGCTAACAAAATGTTTCCTGTTTCTTTAGCTTCTGAAAGATATCTATTGTTATTTCAATGAGCCTTCACATTATTTTCTTTCTAATGAAATTTTCCTATTTCTTAATACTTTGTTTGGCTTTTGGAAGGCATCTTTTTTTATTGCATTTTTCTGTGTCACATTTTTTATCATCTGTTGAAACGCTTCATAACTGACATTTTGGGTTTATTTCTCTATACTGTCTATCTTATTGCAGTTGATAGTCTTTTTTCCTGCTTTTTTCTATCACCCTGTCTAAAAGATCCTGTAATTTATCTGTATCTATATATAAAATTCTGTGACTTCTGTTAGTCTGTCTTTCCACCACCCTCTAAATCAGCCATATATTGACCAATTAAAACTAAATTTTGGGGAGAATTGCAAACAGGTAAGGAGGTAGAGTTGTTTTTACTAGAGTGCATAAAAAACATGAGGTAGGGTTTTTGTTAAAGTATTTTCCCAAACAAATTTACTTATTCAAATTTCATCGATTGGTTTGAAAAATTGAATGAAACATATCCTTAAAAGTGATTAAGCCTCCATAATCGTTGGTTAGCAGTACTATTTTTATGGGGGAGGGTCTCTTATTATACCCACTGATAATAAATCCTGGTAGGGTTTTTTCAATTCCCTTAAGGATAGTGTTGCTGCAGATGTTGCATAAATCTGGAGGGAAGACATATCCTTAAAAGAGATTAAGCCTCCATAATCATTGGTTAGCAGTACTATTTTTTATGGGGAGGGTCTCTTATTATACCCACTGATAATAAATCCTGGTAGGGTTTTTTCAATTCCCTTAAGGACAGTGTTGCTGCAGATGTTGCATAAATCTGGAGGGAAGACATATCCTTAAAAGTGATTAAGCCTCCATAATCATTGGTTAGCAGTACTATTTGTATGGGGGAGGGTCTCTTATTATACCCACTGATAATAAATCCTGGTAGGGTTTTTTCAATTCCCTTAAGGATAGTGTTGCTGCAGATGTTGCATAAATCTGGAGGGAACACATATCCTTAAAAGTGATTAAGCCTCCATAATCGTTGGTTAGCAGTACTATTTGTATGGGGGAGGGTCTCTTATTATACCCACTGATAATAAATCCTGGTAGGGTTTTTTCAATTCCCTTAAGGATAGTGTTGCTGCAGATGTTGCATAAATCTGGAGGGAACACATATCCTTAAAAGTGATTAAGCCTCCATAATCATTGGTTAGCAGTACTATTTTTTATGGGGGAGGGTCTCTTATTATACCCACTGATAATAAATCCTGGTAGGGTTTTTTCAATTCCCTTAAGGACAGTGTTGCTGCAGATGTTGCATAAATCTGGAGGGAAGACATATCCTTAAAAGTGATTAAGCCTACATAATCGTTGGTTAGCAGTACTATTTGTATGGGGGAGGGTCTCTTATTATACCCACTGATAATAAATCCTGGTAGGGTTTTTTCAATTCCCTTAAGGATAGTGTTGCTGCAGATGTTGCATAAATCTGGAGGGAGACATATCCTTAAAAGTGATTAAGCCTACATAATCGTTGGTTAGCAGTACTATTTGTATGGGGGAGGGTCTCTTATTATACCCACTGATAATAAATCCTGGTAGGGTTTTTTCAATTCCCTTAAGGACAGTGTTGCTGCAGATGTTGCATAAATCTGGAGGGAAGACATATCCTTAAAAGTGATTAAGCCTCCATTATTGTTGGTTAGCAGTACTATTTTTATGGGGGAGGGTCTCTTATTATACCCACTGATAATAAATCCTGGTAGGGTTTTTTCAATTCCCTTAAGGATAGTGTTGCTGCAGATGTTGCATAAATCTGGAGGGAAGACATATCCTTAAAAGTGATTAAGCCTCCATAATCGTTGGTTAGCAGTACTATTTTTATAGGGGAGGGTCTCTTATTATACCCACTGATAATAAATCCTGGTAGGGTTTTTTTCAATTCCCTTAAGGATAGTGTTGCTGCAGATGTTGCATAAATCTGGAAGGAAGAAACATCTTTGTTACACATTCCTTTCTATTTTTTTTTTGTATAGATACTTAATTGTCTGTCTATATTTCTGAGATGAGATACTTAATTCATTTTCTATCTGTGTACAGGTTATTTACTCCCATTATAAGTTGTAGATTATTCTCACATCTTTTCCAAATATATCTAGTTTTAATGGATGGTATCTATACTATCATTGTGAAAAATATCTCCTTCAAAAGGGTTTCAAATAAAAGATTGTGTAGCTGTATTGCTGCTGCATTCAGGAGTAATTTTAGCCTGTTTATTGAAATAATTCACCACAGTAGTAGCTGGTAGGTCAAAGTCTTAAATGGACTAAGTATTTAATGGACAAAGTGAAGAATTGGAAAAGACGTCGAACTGACTAAATGATGAATGGACTTAATGTCAAAAAGACAAAGTTTCAAAAAGACAAAATATTGAACAAAGTAAAATGAACATATTGTCATTATTTTAAAAACTTGGTTCAAATAATCAGTTAAGCTATTCTAAACATTTTATGGCTGTGCTTTGGCATCATTTAATATATATGCTTGAAGTGTGTAACTCAACAATTCAACTGGTGATAGCAGGTAGGCACAAAGAAAACCGGTGTCGCACGTCCAACCTTCTCACGAGCCGAAAGCCTTCCGTTTGAAACAGCAGAAACGAGCCTGCTTTATACAGCTGCGGACCGACCACGATTTGCATGCGAATCACGAGGCAACGAGATTTCGTTAACTGACCGAGACTACTCGGCATAAAACGCGGGCGCCGCCATTTTGGTTTTTCTTTTTACAGTTGGAAGGACCAGTGTTTACATACCGCGCAGATTCGAACGCGTTTCGAGGTAGGCCATTTTCACAATTTTCCCCCACTCCCCCTGATCTCATGATCACAAACAGGGCAGGAGGTGGCGATCGTCGCCGTCGAGTCCCTCTCCGAAGGGGGATAACACAAGCTTCATCCTCGTCGTGTTCTCGTCTGTGGTTTGAGTGTCGGTAAACACTGTGTCCGCCGAGGCTGCTGTTATCAGAATCGCTGCCCTGCAGGTCTAACTCAAGGCAGATTGAACGCTCACTACTCCCAGACTCGGAATCGCTTTCATCGCCGGTAGCGGTAGTGATTAAGGTCACCGGTCGCAAGTCTTTAATGTGACGAGGCACCCCATCAACTCTCACAGATTGCGGGCTGATAACCTCCGTAACACGTCCAGTGCCGTACTTTGTCGCATTACACTTGCCGCGTGGGTTTTGACCCAAACGATGTCTCCTTTTTTCAATCTCCTCCAGTCACTTCTAGTTCAGGCAGCGGGTTGGCTTCGATGCCCTTCACGCGGGACATGATATTTGTGCAGTGCATCAGCCGGCGCCGTGGATGGTGAAATGTTATCCTTCAGGGCGACATTATACCAGTAAACCGCTTCGAACTGTGCAGCCCTTCCTGGCTGCGATGGTCTTGATGGTTCTGTGGTTCCGCTCCACGATGCCGTTTCCACTTGGCGAGTAGGCACATCGAAACCGCAGATGCACGTCCCAAGTGTCCGCAAATTCTTTAAAATCTTTACTGGTGAACGCAGTATCGTTATCCGTCAGTATTTCCATGGGTGGGCCTCGCTCAGGAAAACATTCTCCAACAGTCGAATGACGGTGCTCGCGTCTTGTCTGCGCAGGCGGCCGCCATACCGCGAACCTGGAGGGACCGCAATCAATGAGTGTTAAAAATTCTCACCATTGTAGTGAGTTATGTCCATTGCCAGTCTGCTCCAGTTGCTCTTCACGCTCAGTTCTCCTCTTTCCCAGTGAACGGGTGCGGATCGATCGACTGACAGGTTGTGCAGCCCTTCACAACGGATTTAACGCTTTCTCTGGACACCTGCGGGTCGACTAACCTGGCGAAGTACAGGGTTCGTTTCACGCCCGGATGTCCGCATTGACGGCGCGTATTGGCAACCTGGTCCTCATCCAGTCGTCTCCCTGCCACTGCACAGCTCGAGTGCGGTTCTCCTCTCTTGAGCAGTTCTAGCCACCTGTGCGGTACTCTGGTGAGGCGATCTGCACGGTTCTGACAGGACTGCACAAGTGTCAAGTCCACGGTCAATCCATATTCATCCACCAACGATCGCCAAAATGCCCAGCCGTCGCCTGATCAGCATCTCACCAGCCGCCCTTGTGTTCACCCGCCTTCCCGGTCAAGGTGTCTGAAATCCACCGTGCACACACGCCGAATCAGTGACCAAGTGCAACGTTGTCGCCTCCCACTGGAGAGCCAGATTCACTCCTTTAAGCGCCGCATCGAAGTTCAGCCAAATTAATGTGCCTGGCATCATTAGTCGGATTTAGCCAGCACGCATCTTCGATGACATTTTCGTTTACTTCCAATGCCACTCCTGTCGCCACGGAACTCGTGATCCACCCAGACTGTGATCT